AATGAAGAAGGGTCTAGGCCCGAAACGTCAGCCTTCTTGCTCCTCTGATGCTGCTTGGCCTGCTGTGTTCATCCAGCTCTACACCTTGTTATCTCAGATTCTCCAGCATCTGCAGTTCCTACTATATCTGAAACCACCAGTGATGTTTGATGAGGCAGATTCCTGGTTTTGAAGGGATTGAGGTTATGAGAAATGGTTTCAAATCTTAACACTCTTCAGCCTTGAACAAGAATGCAGGGAGGAGGGCTTTAGGGATACCATGTTTGGTGGCATTCACTGCAGGGCAAGGGAAATACAGGCACATGGTGGGATAAGGATAGACCAGAGCTGGTGGCAGGAACACCTCTGCACAGAGAGGCTGATCAACTCCTGCAACAGCTTCTGAGCAGAACATTGCAGGCAAACACTCCAGGATTGTACGAAAGCAAGATGTTGTGGGTTGGTATTAAAGGCTTCTTTTAAGTGTTGTGTCAGGTGGATCAACAGCTTCCCTAACGCAGGTTGAAAATCTACTCAAAAATATCTGAATAAACATAAATTCTGAAACAGCCCTGAGGCAATTAGTCTTCACTTATCCACCACTTCCTCTCCCATTTATATTCCATTGATATTGACAGATGCAAAACTCAGAACCAGGGTGTGTTTGTGTAACTTATTACATGCTAATTAAGAGTAGAACTAAACAGGTCAAGGTCTGTAATTTATTCATTGAACTTTATACACCTATGAACATTAACTAAAATTTCACACTCAGTGCAATCTGTCTCTTCCTGGGGCAGTTCCAGCAGACTGGAAAACAGCAAATGTGATGCCATTGTTTAAAAAAGGGGGTAGACAAAAGATGGAGAATTATCGGCCAGTTAGCTTAACTTCTGAAGTGGGGAAAATGCTGGAAGCTATCATCAAGAAAGAAATAGCAAGACATCTAGATAGAAATTGTCCCATTGGGCAGACGCAGCATGGGTTCACGAAGGGCAGGTCATGTTTGACTAGTTTGCTGGAATTCTATGAAGACATTACGAGCATGGTGGACAACGGGGACACAGTAGATGTGCTGTATCTTGATTTCCAAAAGGCATGGACTCGACAAGATGCCACACAAAAGGCTGCTGCAGAAGATAAAGGTGCAAGGTGTTACGGGCAATGTATTAGCATGGATAGAAGATTGGTTAACTAACAGGAAGCAAAGAGTGGGGACAAATGAGTGCTTCTCTGGTTGGTGATCAGTGACTGGTGGCGTGCCTCAGGGATCAGTGTTGGGACCGCAATTGTTTACAATTTACATAGATGAATTGGAGTTGGGGATCACATATAATATGTCAAAGTTTGTGGATGACGCTAAAATGAGCAGTACAGCAAAGTGTGCAGAGGACTCTGAAAGTTTGCAGAGGGATATAGATAGTTTAAGTGAGTGGGCAAAGGTCTGGTAGATGGAGTACAATGTTGATAAATGTGAAGTCATCCATTTTTGGCGGGAATAACAGGAAAATGGACTTTTATTTGAATGGTAAAAATTGCAGCATTCTGCTGTGCAGAGAGACCTGGGTGTCTTTGTGTTTGAATCACGTAAGGTTGGTTTGCAGGTGCCACAGGTAATTAAGAAGGAAAATGGAATTTTGTCCTTCATTGATAGATTGAGTATAAAGCAGAGAGTATACTGTATCCGCTGTTCCCGTTGTGGCCTCCTCTACATCAGGGAAACCAAGTGGAGGCTTGAGGACTGCTTTGCAGAACACCTACACTCGGTTCGCACTAAACAACTGCACCTCCCAGTCACGAACCATTTCAACTCCTCTTCCCATTCCTCAGACGACATGTCCATCCTGGGCCTCCTGCAGTGCCACAACGATGCCACCCGAAGGTTGCAGGAATAGCACCTCATATTCCGCTTGGGAACCTTGCAGCCCAATGGTATCAATGTGGACTTCACAAGCTTCAAAATCTCCCCTCCCCCTACCGCATCCCAAAACCAGCCCAGCTTGTCCCCGCCTCCCTAACCTGTCCTTCCTCCCACCTATCCCCTCCTCCCACCTCAAGACCCACCCCCATCTCCTACCTACTAACCTCATCCCGCCCCCTTGACCTGTCCGTCCTCCCTGGACTGACCTATCTCCTCCCTAACAGCCCACCTACACTCACCTTTACTGGCTCCATCCCCGCCTCTTTGACCTGTCTGTCTCCTCTCCACCTATCTTCTCCTCTATCCATGTTCTATCCGCCTCCCCCTCTCTCCCTATTTATTTCAGAACCCCCTTCCCCTCCCCCATTTCTGAAGAAGGGTCTAGGCCCGAAACGTCAACCTTCCTGCTCCTCTGATGCTGCTTGGCCTGCTGTGTTCATCCAGCTCTACATCTTATTATCTCAGGTTATGTTACAGCTGTATAGCATGCTGGTGAGGCCACACCTGGAAAACTGCATGCAGTTTTGGTCTCCTTATTTGAGAAAGGATGTACTGGCACTGGAGGAGCTGCAGAGGAGATTCACTAGGTTGATTCCGGAGTTGACAGGGTTGGCTTATGAGGAGAGACTGAGTAGACTGGGATTATATTCATTAGAATTTAGAAGAATGAGGGGGGATCTTATAGAAACATATAAAATTACAAAGGGCATAGAAAAGATAGAAGCAGGGAGGTTGTTTCCACTGGCGGGTAAAGCTAAAACAAAAGGGCATCGCCTCAAAATTAGGGGGAGCAGATTTAGGGCTGAATTGAGGAGGAACTTCTTTGCCCAAACGGTTGTGAATCTGTGGAATTCCCTGCCCAGTGAAGCAGTTGAAGCTTTCTCATTGGATGTTTTTAAAGCTAAGATAAATCATGTTTTGAACAGTGAAGGAATTAAGGGTTACGGTGAGAGGTTGGATAAGTGGAACTAAGGCCACAAAAGGATCAGCCACGATCTTATTGAATGGTGGAGCAGGGCCAGATGGCCTGCTCCTGATTCTTATGTTGTTATGTCCCAGTCTCGGTATTTCAGATTACCTCAGCCTGACTGCTTTTATATTTGACCTGCAGTGCAGCCAGTTCACTGCGAGCTATTTCAGAAGCTACCCGATAATGATTCAGTTGTTCACGTAAAACTGGAATTTCCACCATTGGTTCAAAGATTCCCTGGAGGATCAATAGAAACACAATGTGTAAGATTTCCTTGTTGCATACAGTACACACTGACAGATGAATGCTCAGTTCCACTGAAGAGTTCAAATCTTGCTTCGAAATAGATTTAATTCTAGAATTTTCAAACCTCACCGTGCTCTGCTTCCCAGCTATTCTAAAGTCAAAGTCAAACCATGCCTCATCAGTTACCTCTGGGGCTCTACTCTGCGTGACACTGCCTCACCAGCCTCTAGGTAGCCTCTGTTCCTTGGTGCGCAATGGGAATGTTTGGAGAAATGCAATTGCACTTAATGTACTGGTTGCACTTAATGTACTGGCTAGCTTTCCAGAGTCATGAGATCTCTACTGAAAACAACAAATGCTGGAGATCACACCAGGTCAGACAGCATCCATGGAGAGAGCGAAAGCAAGCTAATGTTTCAAGTCTCTTCATCAGAGATCTCTACCTCTGCTGTAAGTACCTTTATATGCTGTCTGAGACAGCCATTAAAACATGTTGTTTGAAATAGTGTCAAAAATGATATAGCTGAAAATATGCAAGCGTTCAGAGGTAAAAGACAGCCAGCTGTTGGAAGTGAACAAAAAAAACCCAGCAGTACATGCAAATTTAAATTACTGGGTCAGTCAAAATACTGTGAATCTTCCTTTCCCTGCTGCTGTGACAGACGATTTAAATACCCCTTGAAATCTGGATTTTTGATCTTTAGAATTTGTTTTCCCTGTCTATATTTTTTTCCACCAATACCTGTATCTAACTGTCTGTCTTAATTGTGAGTATGTCAGTGTGTGTGCGTGTGTATATGTGTGCGCACGTATGTGTGCATTCAGTCTTTCTAAAGGGATATGGCATAAGTTGCATTGTAGTAAATTAGAAATCTATTTTTTTTCTTTCCCGTTTATGAAAGTTGTATTACAATAGGGTATTTTTCCCCCTATTAATGATAAAACCTAGAGTGAATTGCTTTTGTTTCGAATGGCAGTCAGGCAGTCAGGTTGGTCACCTTGGTTGTCTAATTGGGAATTTATATATTTTGTGGTGGCTTGTGGAACAGTGGGCCATGATCATTGCAATCTCATCATTTAAATCCTGACAACACCAAGAACAGAATTGACAAAAACAGTGCAAACAGCATTACATGTGTGTCAGATTTACTGAGTATATCAAGTTGTTGAACACAATGGTATGATATGAAACATCCAGTAGGTCAGGAGTGCCAAGAACAGGATGGATATGTGTAATTATCCATTGTGCCCAGTGTCATTTAAAGATTTAATAATAAGTTGGGCATTCCACATCAATAGCCTGTTAGCAGCCCAGAGATAACGCACATGTTGGTTAGTTCCTGATCAACCGCTCTTTGATATTATAATAACTTGAAATTCTCCTCCCCTTTAAAATTGCTATCCCCTAATGAGTGGTCAGAACATACTGACCCTAAAAATACCTGGGGCACAATTCTGGTTATTAGACCAGGCTTTTTACAACATCAGCAAGAGCACCCAAAATTGACACAGGTCACAGTGTGCTGGTCTCTAGCATTCACTGCCCTCCTAGCCAGAGGAGCCAGTACCCGCCAACAGTGGGGAAGGTTTGCTTATTTCCATTACCAGCCCCATCCAGTCCTGTCCCCTTCCCTAGGCTGAAAGTAAGGATGAGCAATAAATGCTGGCCAGCCAGTGATGCTCACATCCCACAGAATCAACAAAAAAAAGAAAATTCTGCATCTGGTCTCACCCGGCAATGCCATCCTGGAATCTGAGTGGCCCAGACACTGCAGCAGCTCTCAGTGCAAGGGAGTCACTCTCACTCCTGCTCCCACAAATCTGTGACTTATGGAGTGTACAGGGGTCACACTACTTACTGGGAATGCCAAAAATGTCAAAAACACCAAAATGACAACTCTCTGCCATTCACTGATGCACACCACAATTAAGATCAGTAAAGCTTCCACAATTGTTAAAGCCCCTGCTTTTACTCATTTTGACATTGTATACTTCCCAAACAGTTTAGCTCAGTTGGCTGCACAGCTGCTTTGCAATGCTAAGTAATGCCAACAGCATAGGTTCAATTCCTGCACTGCCTGAGGTTACCTTGAACGATTCTCCTCCTTCAACCTATGCCCTCTCTGGAGGTGTAGTGACACTCAGGTTAAACCACTATCAGTTGTCTCTTTATAATGAGAGAGCAGCCCTCGTAAGACTGCAGTGATTTGAACTTTACTTTTCACTTTCGTCAATGTAACTGAAGCTTGCTCTGCCAAATCAATGCAAGTCATCATAAACTAATTGGAGGCTGCAGTGGATGATGAGCATTTATTCAGATCATTGAAACTGCTTTATTGTTTATCTAAACTTCATGGAAAACCTGAAGGGTGCTGTGCATGGCTCCACATTTCAAAGTGTACGTGGAGCCAGTACAGAAGGTGAACAAGTAGCTTGCAAAGCGATGCCAAAACTGAAAGAATTTACGATGAGGAAAGGCAGAAGAGGCTGTGCGTCTTTTCCACAGGAAAAATTACAAGGTGTGACCAGGTGGAGTCTGAAGGGGTGGGGATTTGATAGGGTAAATATTAATAAAACATGTTGGCAGGGAAATCCAAAACTAGGGGTCATAATTATAGATACTCACTAATAAATGCAATGGCAAAGTTAAGAGAAAGTTCTTGATCCAAAGAATTGTGAAAGTATGAAACTTACTTCGACATGGGCTGGTTGAAGTAAAGCATAGATATGTTTAAGGGGAAGTCAATTAAGTGTAGTATGGGAAAAAGAAATACAGGTTATACCAATGAAATTAGATGATGTAAGCTGGGAAGAAGTTTGTGAGGCATAAACCATTTGGACTGAACTGTTTCTACGCTGTAAATTCTTTGTAATTCCATGTAAATCAACTGCCAAGAAAAAATGCAAACATGTAACAATAGTGGAGCTCAAGACCAGTTTTTAATGCACTTCACAATTGTTCCCCCAACGATTGCTATTTTCAACATTGGCAATCAAATGGGTTTTAGATGCCCCTCTGTGTTTAAGTAATCAGATGTTGACTTGTTTCCTTTTGAAGGGGTTAACACCTCTGCTGAAATAACTGGGAAGAATATTGTCACATACGTATTTGTAAAAATCAGTCGCAACTATCAGTTGAATCACATACCTTTTGAGAATCCAATCTGCTCCGACTCCTGCAATGAGAAGGAGAGAAAAGGTGCACGTGACTGCACACTAAACAGTTGGCACAGAGCTGAAATATTGGAATAATGTGAACATTACAGATAAGGCACAGTATTTAGTACAATACCATATTTTTAAAAAACTAAAAACGAGTAAAAGTGTATTAGACAAGTTAAGAAATCGCAAAGATATTGACTAACAAAAATGAAGCATAGCACCCAGGCTCTGTTATGGCATACGGGCTATCCAAGGGGAGGGGATCCAGCTGCATGGCCAATGGGGCATAATGTCAAAGTTATTGGGCCCATTTTGACAGTTTCTTTCTTTGGCCTTGGACTCTTGAAGATTTTTTTTTCTACTCTTGTCATTCTCTCAGTTTACAGCTGATCTCTCCTGTAAGGCAGAGCCATATCCCTCATGATTTAACGTTCTATTTTGTAACCCAATATCTGGATATACACTATCCTGACTCAAGGGTGTAAAAATGAACCCCTCTTTTCCTCCAAAAGGATGAGATATCCAGAGTGGGCCACTGCAACTTTATGTATACTTCTCTAACATTCTTGAAGCCAACACTGCTGATATTGTGGTGGCACAATGATCTATGTAAAATCAGGAAGCTGGTTATTTCTGGGACAAGTAGAAGGCTCACCAATACCCTCTCCAAGGAATTTAAGAATGGGCAATAAAAGCCAGGCCTAACCACATTCCTAGAATGAGGGTTTTCTTTTAAATGCCAGGCTCTGCAATCTATCCCGTGATACAGTAAATAAGTGCATACACTAGACAATCCTCAATTGTTAGCAAAATCTTCAATGCTTGTCCTCTTTTTGATCAATTCTAATATGTTTACTAGCTCTGCTCTTGCCACTGGCTTTACAACTGGCAATGTGTACTGGTTTGTGATCCTGTTGTCTTTGACCTCTACCTCCTTCCCTGTCAAGGGGATGGCCAATTGGTCAACGAAGCTACACACCGCCCCCCCAAGGATGCAGGCCCTATCAATTAATTTCTGCTGCGCATGCATTCAGTTATCTCAATTTCTCAAGTGCAAATGCCAAAAAATGTTACTCGGACTGTGGCAATGTACCACATATTTTCTCGTTTCATGAAGGAGAGCAGATTCAATGGTCAATTCAGGAAGTCATTTGGCATGCCAGTCCCCACAGGCTCAAGGAAGTGACTGCACTGTGAACATAGCCATTCCCCACCTAATCTTGACATTAATGTTCAAAAACAAAACATGAGGGATTTCAAGTTAAGAATGCAACATTGTATGAATTATGCTAATTTCAGATGACAATAAGTCAACTTCTCCACAAGGTTCTCCACCCATAATGCAATCAACAAACATATAGAATTGGACCCCATATACAAACCCACACAGATCAAAACCGGAAATGGTTTTTACACTACTCACCATAACATACCAGACAGTATAAATTCCAAGCAGAGTAGAATAATATGGCTTCATTGGAAGCTCCACTAATGATGTTACCTAGCATGGTGACGAAACATCTGAATGAGAACAAGCCAGCTCGGCGAGCAAGTCAACAACCTCGCCCACAACCCGAGCTACGGATCTTTGCCAAAACTTTAAAGGGTCAATTTCTGTTCAGGACACAGGTTAGCACCATTAACAGTGCTAAGATAACATAGATAACAAATTGCTCTTCTCACATATTATATCTGTTTGAAAAACATAGTCATTTTGTGTGTGAAATTAACCAGTTTGTCTTATTCACTGTGTGAATGTGTGCGACACTAGCACCATCAGCATTTTTTGACTCTCACTGATGCTAGCATAAAAGGTGGTGGTGGCAAGCAGCATTCTTAATTTGCTGCTATCCATGTGGTGAAAGTAATTCCATAATTGACCATAAGACAATCAGAGGAAGGAGCTCAAGGTGACCATTCGGCCTATCAAGTGTCCATCAACGAGATCGTGGCTGATCCGATTGATCTTCCTCAGCTTCACTTGCTTGCCTTTCCTCCATAACCCCTGACTCTGTTACAGATTAAAAATCTGTCTATCTCAGCGTTGATTATATTTAATGAACCAGCCTCGACAGCCCTCTGCAGTAATGAATTCCACAGATTTGCTACCCTCAGAGAAGAAATTCATCCTCATGTCTGTTTTAACTGGTGACCTCCTCACTCCTGAGATTATTCCCTCTGGTCCTATATTCTCCCACAAGGGGAAACAATCTTTCCACATCTACCTTGTCAAGTCCTCTAAGAATGATGTATGGTCATCTCTTGTTCTTCTAAACTCTAATGAGTACAAACTGAACTACTCAATCTCTCCTCATAAGAAATCCCTCCATGTCCAGGATCAAGGTACCGAACTACATTTGGACTGTTTCTAATGCCAGAATATCTTTCCTTAATAAGCAGACCTAAGCTGTTCACAATATTCTACGTGTGGTCTGACTAGTGCCTGTAGAGTTTTAGCAAGACTTTCCTATTTGAATATTCCATTCTCTTTGAAATAAAGGCCAATGTTTTACCAGCTTTTTCTATTACTTGCCGAACTTCGATGCTAGCTTGTTGTGATTTATGCACAAGGACCCCCAAATCTCTCTGTGCTGCAGCTTCTCTCCATTTAAATAATATTCAGCCCTTCTATTCCTCCCGTCAAAGTGCACAACTTCACAACTTCCCACATTATATTCCATTGGCAAAGTTTTTGCATACTCACTTAACTTGTCTATGTCCATCAGCAGACTGTCATCCTCATCACACACTTTCCTGCCTGTTTTTGTGTCATCCGTAAACGTGGCTACAGTATACTCACTTTCTTCATCCAAATCATTAATATTTTGTAGTGGTCCCGACACAGATCTCTGTGGCATCTGCTAGTTACAGGTCACCATCCTGAAAACGTACGCCTTTTCCCAACTCTCTTTCTTATATTAGTTAGCCAATCCTCTACCAGAATGATACATTACCTCCAAAATCAAGGGGTCTTATCTTATTAAGTAGCCTAACATGCGGTATCTTAACAAAATCTATTGAAAATCCCAATATACTTCATCCACTAGTTACCCTTTAGTTATTCTGCTTGTTACCTCCTCAAAAGAATTCAAATAAATTTGTCAGGCTTGATGTTCCCTTCATGAAGCCATGCTGACTCTGCTTGATCATATTGTGTGTTTCTAAATGCTCTGCTATTACATCCTTTATAATAAGATATTCCCAATACAAATTTTAAGGAAGGATCACCAGACTTGAAATGTTAACTCTGATTTATCTTCACAAATGCTGCCAGACCTGTTGAGCTTTTCCAGCAATTTCTGTTTTTATTACAAATTTTAAGCTAATGGGCTTATAGTTACCTGTGTTTTGCTTCCTTCACTTTCCAAATAAATGTACTGCATTGGCAATTTCCCAATCCTCTGGGACTTCTCCAGAATCAAAGGAATCTTGGAAGATTATTGCCAGTAGATTAACTATCTTTTTGGTACTTCCTTTAATAACCGTAAGATGCATCTCATTAGATCCAGGGTCTTTAGTTTTCCTAGTACATTTTCCCTAGTGATAGTTATTGCACTTATTTCCTCTGCCTCTATTGTCCTTTGATTATTTTGTATTTTTGGAAGGCTATTAGTGTCTTCTACCATGAAGACTGATGCAAAGCATTTATTCAATTCCTCTGCCATTTTCGGGTTCCTCAATGTTATTTCCCCAGCCCCATTTTTTATGCTTCCTTTGGCCTCTATCTTCTTTTATTGATAACTAAAGAAGTTCTTGTTCTAACTATTAGAGTTCCCTGACTTTGAACTAGAAACCTTGCAGGGATAATATATGTCCAAGTCAGGGATGGGTGTAGGGCGAAGGGAAACTTATGAGACGATGGAGTTCCCATGCAGTCACCACCCTTGTGTTTTGACATGTTGGAGGTTATGGGATGGATAACCACCACCAGCCACCTCCCCACTCCACCCCCACCACAACCATCACCACCACCCCAGATAGGCTTTGTCCCACCAGACTACCAAATCAGATCACTTTCCAAGAAATGCACATGCAAGATGTATTATAGAGCTCAGATCATACTATCAAAAGAATGGCTATTCAGCAATAAAGGTAAACTCCTGCTATTAGGGGATTTGGGGAGTTGTTGCTGGAAAGAAACCATGCTATCAAATGCAATCATGCAGACCTAATGTTTATAATTCTTCAATTTTTTTGTTACATGTAGTTTTTGTTTACTTAGACCAGGTATTAATCTGGATCATCATCCCTGTGGATATAAAATATTACACATTACTAGTACTGGTATATACTAGCATTGACATAGTTATAGGCCCAATACACCGCTCCCAAGATTTGCTACAGCCGTATGAAGTGTGGCATCACACAATGTCCACTGCATAAAAATATTTACTGTATGTTTTATATATGATATGCATATAGAGACAGAGTTCTACAGCATGGAAACACACCCCTCTGTCCAACTCATCCATGCCAACCAGATATTCTAAATTAATCTAGTCCCATTTGCCAGCATTTGGCCCATATTCTTCTAAACCCTTCCTATTCATATACCCATCCAATGAGATGGAAATTTACCTGATAGAATGTGCCTGCTTGTGAAAGGACAACTTTCCACATTGTTCAGTAGATGTAGCTCTTTTTAAACATCTTACTTGTAGTTGTGACTGTGGGGACCACAGATGGAAGTGGAGATGGATCATCCACACAACAATCCTGACTAATGATAGTTACAATGCTTCAGCTCATTTTTGTATTCAGTTGTGCTGTGCTGTCATTAATGAAGAATGGTAATGCCAGTAAACCTCCTAATGATGTCAACATTTTTAATTTGTGACAGGATTGCAGAGTTTTAAGCTGGTCCATTCCTTATGTGGTCACTTAGCCAAAAGTGGTACATTACTGTCACTGCTTAGAATGCTATAATTCTATGTTGTAGTATCACCAGTTTGGTACACAATTTTCAGGTAGATCCTTATACTATGCTCCACACATGGTCATGTGCATGTCTATATTCCTCTTTGAATCAGGCTTGGTCACCTAGCACGGCTGTGATAGAGGAGTGAATAACGAGTCAGTCTGTGAAGCTAAAAATGAAGTTGTATGTATCTCTGCTGCTGCTGATGGCCTACAGCTCCTCAAGGTTGCCCAGTTTTGGGCTACTGGATCTTTAGAATTATAGAGTTGTACAGCACAGAAACAGTCACTTCGGTCCAACTCGTCCATGCTAACCAGATATCCTAAATTAATCTAGTCCCGTTTGCCAGCATTTGGCCCATATCTTCTAAACCCTTCCTATTCATATACCCAACCAGATGCATTTTGAATGTTGTAATTGTACCAACCTCCACCACTTCCTCTGGCAGCTCATTCCATAGACACACCTTTCTCTGCGTGAAAATGTTGTCCCTTGGGTCCCTTTTACATCTTTCCCCTCTCACCTTAAACCTAAGCCCTTTAGTTTTGCAACCACCACTACCACAGCCCCCCCCCCCCCCCCCCCCCCCCAGCCCCCACGCCCCCCCAGCACCCCCCCACGTCCTGTACAGCTGTTACATGACCTCCCTACTCCTACACTCAATGCACTGACCAATAAAGGCAAGCGTACCACATACCTTCTTCACCACCCTGTCTACCTGTGACTCCACCTTCAAGGATTTTTGAACCTATATATATAATATAGAATAATAAAAATACTTAATCAGATGCTCAGTAATCAAACTAATGAGGAGATTAAAACTGCACACGCCACCATGAAGTATTATAATACACGTATCATCAACTACGCTGCATGAAATATAAGCCTGTCTCCTTCCTGCTGCTCAGTCAAAGGGTTTTAGGTACAAGCTCCATTCCAGAGGCACGTGCACACTTCAATAATATGGAGGATAATGTGCAGTAATCCTAACTCTTCTGCTATATTTCAGTTATCATGTTAAACTCAGGTGGACATAAAAGATCCAATGATATGATTACAATAAGAGGACGGTGTTCACCCTCAATTTTTGCCACCCAAAATAGATCAACTGACATTCATTTCAGTGCTGTTTGTGGTTCTTTGTACAGTTTGTTGCTGTTTACTTACATAGCAACAGGGAGTTCTTTTCAAAAGTAGCTATAACAACAGCATTTTGTATTGCTGTAGCTCCACGTTATACATTGGAAAACATTTTGAAATATGGAACTATAAAAATGGAAGCTCTTTGTCCTCACAAACATCTTTGAAACAAGCTGACTCTTCTATTGTGACATTATGAATGCCCTCATTCCAACTCTGGGATTGCACCTGCAACGTATGTTTCTGAATCTTTTTGAATCTGTAGAATCCTGCAGAGACATCAAACAAACTATGAAATAAATTCAGACAATTTTTAATTCTTTTATGGGATGTGGGTGTTGTCGGCAAGACATGCAGTTGTTGCCCTTCTCAGGCAGCCCTTGAACTGATTGGTTTGCTGGGCCATTTCAGAAGGCAGTTAAGAGTCAAACGCATTCCTGTGGGTCTGGAGTCACACATAGGCCAGGCCAGACCGAGTAAGGATGGCAGATCTCCTTCCCTAAAGGACATCACTGACCCAGATTGTCTTTTGCAAGAATTGCTTATAGTTGTGATGGTCACTTTTACTCTGACTAGCCTTATATTCCAGAATTATTATTTGAATTTAAATTCCACCAGCTCCAGTGGGATTTGAACCTATGCCCACAGCTTATTAGCCTGGGCCTCTGACTTACTAGTTCCATGATATTACCACTACATCACTATCTCCTCCAATACAAAAATATGTGACACAGATTTCAACAACTTTAACATGCAAAGATGTCCCAAGGCACTTCATAGAGGTGTAAACTAATGGATATGAAGCCAAAGAAGTAAACATTAGAAGATTATAAAGTCTTTCTTGGTCGACAAAATGTCTTAATAAATATAAACAATCCCCAAGCCAAGCCACTTTGTAGAGTTCTGCTTGCTATTATGGGATTACAAATTATCTCCTTTCGTGGCATTGATGCTCTTGCCTGTCTCTGGAGCATTTAGACTTTGATTGCCAACAGCTAAACATTGCCCCCAGCATGAACAAGGCCCACAGCTGGAATGTGACCACGTAAATCAAGATCCTAGGACAGGCCAAACAGAGACAATTTCTAGAGGCTTGGTTCTCCACTAAGAAGGCCATCAATAAACGCATTGAATTAGACCCTATAAATACACCACTGCAAAGAAAAACTGGAAATGAGGTAACCAATTCCAATGGACCCCAGAGTTTAAATACCAGGCAGGAAAACACAACAGCACTTCATTGGAGGCTGCACTGATGATGTTACCCAGCAGGGTAATGAAACATCTGCGAACTAATGAATCAGCTCGGTGAGCAAACCAACCATAGGTAAAACATCACGCAGCCAGTCAATACAAAGCTCTATGATCCGAGGAATGGAGGAACAGCATAAATATCCACTAGGACAAACTGAGGAGGCCCCATCCACACACTCAGCCGAATGTAGAAGATCCCACGGCATTATTCAGAATGGTTCAGGAGACTTCTTCACCATGTTCAGGCCATCACTAAGAGAGACTTTCTTGTCTTTATCACATTGCCGCTTCTTGTACTTTGCTGTGCACAAATTAGCTGCATTTCATACATCACAACAGTGACTATACTGCAAAAGCACTTCCAAGCTGTAAAGTGATCTGGGACTACCTGAAGCTGTGAAAGACCCCCTATCAACACAAATCTTTCTTTTTCTGCTGAAATGTTTCAGATCATCCTGGATCGATAATCTCACATTATTTCCTTTACTGGAAACTGTCTTCTTAAACCCCTCATCCCTGTCTCCTCCATCTTTACCTCCACCAACATGCACAGGAGCTCATGAATTTTGTTGTCATTAAGATGGAGAACATCCTCGACTGCTTCTCCCTCTTTTTCGCTATCTCATTAAGCAAATCTTCCTTCTGGTCTCCCTCTGAACTCTCATTTTTCCCTAGTTTCCATCCAGTCTCCAAAAATTCCTTTCCTCTCCAAAGTTGTGGAACTTGCTACTGCTTCCCAAATCCATCGTTCCTGTAATTCCAAAGTTTGATTTTGTGTAATCAGGTCACTGTTTCCATCACAGCACCAAAATGACACTTATTAAACTCACTAATGACATCTTATGAGACTGCAACAAAGGTAAACTATCCATTCTTGTCAGTTTTGATCTATCTCTACCTAGTGACACGGTTAGCCATACCATCCTGATTCAATGCCTCTCCACTGTCACCCAGCTGGGTGGACAGCAGTCATTTAGATCCTTCCTTATATATTCAATTGTGGGCAGAACATTACTACAATGGCTTCTCCCCACCCACCTACAGATCCATCGTTGGCCCCCTCCCATTTCTAATCTGCATACTGCCAATCATTATCTAAAACTCTGCTGCCTGTGACCTGATTGACAGGAAGTCCAGTTCACCTTTTCTCCTGCATTAGTTCCTGGGAGGAAATGCCCTGATTTTAGAAATGTGTCTTCAGTTTTGAACCTCTCCATCGCCTCGCCCCTCCCTATCTGTGCCATTTCTTTCTGACTCATGATCCTCAGATATTCATGCTTCCCCAGTTCTGGATTCTTCAGGATCACCGATTGTAAATGCTCCATCATTGGCAGCTATGCCTTCAGCCCCTCCCTGTACTTCTCTGCCTCTGCACCTCACATTCCTCCTTTAAGATAGTCTCTTAGACCTCTGTGCTTTTAGCCATCTATTCTAATGTCTCCATATGTACTCAGTGTGAAATTTGGTTTGGTAACACTGCTATGATGGGTCTTGGAAAATTTTACTGGATGTATTAATGCAAGGGGCTGTTGCTGCATATTTTCATTTAACTACATGCTGTCTTAGTTTACACACACAGTTGGCTGCAAGCAAAATTATATATTCTTAATATACCTTAATAGTGAACTCTTACCTTCCACCACTGAGTGTGGCAATTAATTCTTCTTTTTCGGTCAGTTGGCGCTTCATCGCATTAAGTTGCTCTTGGAGCTGAAAAATTAGTCTAGCAGTTATAAACTTGGACAGGTTCACCTTTCACAGTTCAATAAGCAACTCCTGTAAATGCTTTGCTCGTTCGCCTTCATTGCTTAGACCATTGAGTATAGGAGTTGGAGCATCATACTGCAGTCATACAGGACATTGGTGAGGTCACTTTTGGAGTACTGTCTACAATTCTGGTTGTCCTGCTATAGGAAGGATATTGTTAGATTGCAAAGGGTGCAGAAAAGATCAACGAAGATGTTACCGGACTGGAGGGTTTAAATTATAGGGAGAGGCCGGATAAACTTGAACTTTCTTCACTTCAGCATAGGAGGTTGAGATGCAGCCTTAGGGAGGTTTATAAAATCACGAAGGGCTTAGATACGGTGAAAAGCAAAGGTCTTTTCCCTAGGTAGGTGAGTTCAAAATTAGAGGGCATATTTTTAAAGTGAGAGGAGAAAAATTTAAAAGGGAGCTTAGGGGCAACCTTTTCAACAGACGGTGATTTATATGTGGAACGAACTGCCAGAGGAAGTTTTAGTTGCAGGTACAGTTACAACATTTAATAGACATTTGGTCAGGCACATGAATAGGAAAAGTTTAGAGAGGTTTGGTCCAAATGCAGGCAAGTGGGACTAGTTTAGTTAGGGAAACTTGATCAGCATGGACAAGTTAGACCGAAGGCTCTGTTTCTGTGCTGTACGGCTATGTATCATGACCACAGAATGCAGTTGTAACCCCAGCTAAGTCAGTCAAGATGCCAGAACCAAAACAATCGTGATCGTAAAAGTGAACTAAGTTTAATCAATAGGCAATAGTAGCTGTTCTGCTGACCAATGTGTGGGGAATGGTCTCACCACTTGTTAAGAAAAGGGATTGCGGCATTTTTGATTCACACACAATTGCACCAGAAAAACCTTCACTTGATTTGAAGGCACAAACATTAATTAGCTTGTTTGCATTTTATTAACGTACAGTTACCTTATATATTCAATCCCCTCCATAAAGTGTCAGGATACATCTTGCACTACTCGAGGTCATTTTGCAAGGTATGTAATTCTTCTCACCAGTTCAGTGAGAAGAATCCTCCTTACAAACTCAGCAGGCTAGTCAAACAGTTCCTCACACAACTGCATACACTTAAAAATGAAGAGTTAAGGATTAAATACACTTTAATGTTACAGTTGAGTGAACTAGTTAATGTTCCAAAGATGACAGCTCATCTGAAAATTCATTGAGCTGAATGAAGCATAAACATTCATTCTGCCATCAAGCCAAGATTTGTTCACCTTAAAACTGTACCCCATGTAGATTTACAAGTGTAGCAAATACATGTGTTGCAAATACCAAATATTCCAGAATGCACTTTAAAAATCGCATTAAAAATGCATCTTTGCAGTGAAGCTGCATTTATGCCATCATTAAGGGAATGAAAGGCGAACTGGTGTTTCTAATCTTTCATGGGATGTGGGCATCATTGACAAAGCCAGCATTAGTTGCCCATTCCTAATTGCCCTTGAACTAAACACTGTGCAGGCACTGCCTGTTTAACACTGCTGCCTTACAGCGCCAGGGACCCAGGTTTGATTCCAGCTTTGGGTGACTGTCTGCACAGAGTTTGCAAGTTCTCTCTGTGTCTGCCTGCTTCGGTTTCCTCCCACAGTCCAAAGATGTGCAGGTTAGGTGGTTGGGCCATGCTAAATTACCCATAGTGTTTACATTTACGCAGGCTAGGTCGGTTAGCCATGGGAACAACAGGCTTACGGTGTGGGGTGTTGGTGCAGGTTCAAAGGGCTGAATGGCCTCTGTCTGCACTGTACTATTTTATGATTCTAAGTGGCTTGCAATGGGGTGTCAACCACATTACCGTGGGTCTGGAATCACATGTAGGCCAGACTAGGTCATTCTTACAAGCCATTAGTGAATCAAATGGGTTGTTACGAAAATAGATGCTAGTTTCAGGGCACCACCTCTGAGACAAGCTTTCCATTCCAGATTTGTGACCTGTATGGACATTCAAGTGGATGGACATTTTGGTCAGCACGGACCAGTTTGGGCCAAAGGGCCTGTCTCTTTGCTGTAGAACTCTTATGACTCTATAAGAGTAGTGGGAAGTTTTTCTGGCATCCACACCAATATATATATCCCCCAATCATGACCACAAATAATCTGGTGGTTAGATTTTTTTTTCTAATCAAGCTGTTCAGAGATGTTTATGGCACATCTCTGGAGCAGATGGGAGTTAATCCCAGGCCTCCTGCCTCAGACGTAGGGACACTACCACTGCACCACAAGAACCCCCTAAATGAGTTGTTAGTTCTCACAGTGCTGTTTGTGAGAACTTTTGTGAGAACTTGCTATGAGGAAGTAGTCTCCCCTTTAAGTGGTGCAGACATAAAGTCACTATCTTCATTTTGCATGCTGTTCTCCACCCAACATCCCTTGACCATGCAGCCCCCAAGGCGTGGGCTGGTGTTGAATGAAGGTCCACTCACCTCGGGCACTCGGTGGCCGGCCGCTGGCGAGCTCGACATTCGGCCCAGCGAGCGCAGCGCACGGTTACTGTTAACATCGATCAGCTCCGGGACCGGGGAGCCCGAGTCCGCCCCTCTGCAGCCGGACATTGGGAGCAGGGAATTGGGCGGGGGAAAAATTCCAGCTAGCAGCAAGCCTCACACTCTGAGCTCGGCGACTGCCGGCCTGAAAGTACAGCCTTGCCTCCGGCTGCACTGTTACCAGGGTCTCCCATGGCAACACAGTTGCAACGGCATCTGGAGGTGGGCCACATGACATGATTGACAGAGACAAAGTGAACATTCACACAGCCTTCTGTGATAAATACTATCTTGTTCAGACAGAAGGATTGCCGGAAGTAACAAAGAATTATAATTAATAATCCTGGCTGGAAAGCTGCACCGAGAAAATTAGTTACGTTTCACAAACTTTCGGCATAAACAATTGGATAAAAGTTATTACTTTCTCCCAAAGTGGTGTCACAGCTTTCAAGCCCAACACCTCTTTGGAAAGTACAAAATTAAGGGCTGTTCTTGCTGATTTTGCAAACGTGCTCCTCCTGAACCAGCGGATTGCCACATGCTGTACTCCAATAAAATTGCGGGGCAGCCTGAAGTCTGACATGTTACTCGGAGTCTTTACATCTCATCGATGTGTTGAATCAGCACCCGGAAATCTGGATGCCAAGCTCTGGATTTATCTAACGGCCTCGCATTGAAGAAGGAGAAAGCTTGAACACGAGATGAAAAACGAAAGAACTGCGGATGCTGTAAATCAGACACAAAAACAGAAGTTGCTGGAAAAGTTGAACAGGTTCTGGGAAGGGTCACTGGACCCGAAACGTTAACTCTGATTTCTCTTCACAGACGCTGCCAGACCTGCTCAGTTTTTCCAGCAACTTCCGTTTTTGAACACAAGATGAGTTTTTTTTTTAATTCCTACCCAGCGGGATAATAATGGTGAGGTTTTAGAGGAGGATGGGATAACTATGTGGAAGGCTGTATTCAGGTTGAAATCATGAAGAAGGAGAATTTACCTTTGTCAATCACATAGGATGTCATTTGTAACTTCGAAAAGATTCATTTCAGCACTACGGCAGTGGTGGAAACCCGACAGAAGAGATTAAAACGTAGAGTTGCAAGGAAAAAAAAATTAGCAGAGATTTGGAAAGTAACAGCACAATTATGTACTTGGAAGGGAAGGTTAGAGGTGGGCTAGTAGTTTGCAAAAACAGAGGAGACAGAATGGTTTTAAAAATACTTCGGTGGTTGTAAAGCACTTTGGGATATTTTGTGGCTGTGAAAGTAACTTGATAAATAATTCTTCCCCATAAGGGTTCAAACCCAAACTGTGCGAGGCAGATTCCTTTACGATTAGTTTAATTCTCTGTTCAATTGCCACCTTGCATGTTGAATGATGACGATTAGGAAGGATTAACAACCTGTTAAAAGTTGCCTCTTTTTGCTCCCAGAAGCTTGATAGGCCTGGTTACCAATTTATTCAAAAGAATGGAGGAGGTAATGTATCGCAAACAGATTTATGTTCATCAAAGTGGAGCATATATATTTTACTGACTTGTTAAATCAGTGGGTTGTTCTATATAATTGGTGTTTTTGTATAACCTTATTATAGGTTAGTTGTGTACATGATACTCAATTTTAAATTTTAGACATGATGCACATAGCATTTGAGGTAAATTTGTACTTGGTCAACTGGGGAAAAATGGCTAACAAGGAGATACAACAATAAAGTGGCAAACAAACACCAAAGGAAAATTAAACCCATTCATATACTCTTAGCAGTGATGCACCCAGTCTATCCCACTGCCCATAAGTCATTGAATACCTGAAAGATCTACCTTTTTAATTTCAGCTTCCTTCCTCTTTTTTTCCCATATGATAACTCTCTATAGTTCTCTTTCCTTGAGGCTGCCTATTAGCTTGAAGGTAGGTCTTGCATTTTGAGCATGTTATACTGTAAATAATTCCACAGATGCACCAAGCAGTGTTTAAACTCACCAAACTCAACATTTGAATAACAAAGATCAAAGTTAAATTAAATTATTTGAAGAAAAGCAAGAGCAAATGTGGGAACATTTTTGGGGAAATGGTGTTTGAATATTTAAAAAAAAATCAAGGAAGTTATATATCTGTGGGTGAGAAAGAAGAGAAAAGATTAGCAAAGGCAAATGTGGATCTATTATAGGTGGAGACAGAATTGTCTGACGTGAGGAGAAATTCCTTCATTCTGAGTAGTGAATCTTTGGAATTCTCCACTCCAGACAGCTGTGGAATGTCAGTTCATGAATGTGATCAAGACCAAGATCAAAAGACTTCTACATCATAATGATACCAAGGGATGTGAGGATAGCGCAGAAAAATGGCATTGAGATTGATGATCAACCTTGATCTAGAATGATGGAGCAGGTTCAAAGGGAATCTACCGTGATCTAAAATGGTGAAGCAGGTTCAAGGGAGATCAGCCATGTTCTAGAATGGTAGAGAAGGTTCAAGGGCCTGAATGGTCTACTCTTGCTCCTAACACTGCTCTTCAGAAACTCCCAAGGCCTATGGGGAAAAAAAAACAAACCTTTGAGCAATCAGAAGAAACTACCAATAAAACTGCAAAAGCGATCCATTGTTATGACTGTGACAGGAATAATGCTGTAATAATCAAGGCCCATTACTCCCCATATTTGTGTAACTGGGTTAATTATTACCAAAATGGCCAATTTAGTAATGTTATCAAAAATAAACTTCACTAGGCTTCTTTAAAGAACACAAAATAATCAGTTGATAATGAACAAAAATATTCTTGAAACAAATAACAAACTCTCGTCAATACCTAAGGTATGGCCTTGAATTAAATCTACATACCCTTAGTCCCACACACAGAATACTAAAAAGAAATCTCTGCAAGATTTTTATATGGAAAAAGGGAACTATCAACACTGTGGACCAACAGTCTGGAAAGAAAGGATGGAATGTGATGATTTCTCATGTCCACTTTTTCCTGCCAATGAAGCTGAATTGCTGACAACTGGAGATTAATGATAGATGTCCAGTTCTGATTCCAACCAACACAGGTTTGAGTTCTTGACTGGTCAGCCTGCCATTTCAGGTTTTAAACAGGTAGACAGAAATGCAGGACTGGTATTTAGCTCTATCAGGTCCTAGGAACTTTTACAGTGAGCAGGACTTTAGGAGGGAGTTTCACAGCTTCCCTGACTTCTGCATCTGTAGAACGGAGCTCTAAGTTTAGAGAGGTCTTCTAGGCAATTATTAACATAGGGGCCCCTATTCCTCTCCAAGCCAGGCTTTTCAGTAATTAGATAATAAACCCTATCACTTACCTCCTTCAAAGGACCTTAGCTGCTTCTCCAAGTCACTTATTTCCATTAAGGAAGAGGTAAACCAAAGAACACTTTAAACTGTTGGCTCCATTTTAAAGAAATAACATTGTAAAACTAATTTTAATCCAGAAAATGTTCTAATTGTTAAAGTTCTTCATTTCTTCTAAATAGTCCTTAAGTATAATTACTTATTCCCAACAGTAAATAAGTCACTCAAAATGCAAATTCCTTTTCCTGAATAACTGGAATTTGTGTCTGATATGGAGTTTGAAAAATGAAAACAACAAAATATGACAAATTTGCAAATCAAATTGTCACAAGTCCTTTGCATACTTTATCTTCTCTGATTTATCCTCAAAAGTTCCAGTTTCTTCAATATTCTTGGTTGTAGATTTAATGGGACAGCTTCTGTTCCCAGGTTGAAGTTCAGCAGCATAAGGTTTCCACTTGCTTCAGAGGTCTCCTCTTGATGATATCAAGAATCAGGGTCATTTAGATTATCCTATCTTTGTGGGGAGTCCAACTGCAACAATTCACTTTAGTCTGATAAATGTCTTCTATATAATTTTGTCAGCTGGGCACATAGAGAATATAAGGGCCTGTTCTGCCATTCAGTTAGATTAAGACTGACCAGAGATCTAACTCAATACATGGGCTTTTGTTCCATGATTCTTGATGTTTTGGCTAACAAAAATTTTTCAATCTCGAACTAAAATCAACAACTGACGTAGACTCATTTGCCAATTGTTGCACAGTTCTAAACTACTACTACTACTAATGTGCATAGAAGGAATATCAATCCTGAAAGGTCTGGCTTTACCTTTTAGACTACTCCACCAAGATTTTGACTTCCCAATCAACAGAAATAGTTTTTCTATCTACACAATCAGTTCCCCTCAATATTTTTACAATTTCAATAAAAACACTCCCATACCTACTATAGTTCAGGGAATTTAACCCTCTAAGTCCAAATTTCATTCTGGTCAATCTATTCTGCACTTCCAGAGAGTATCCACAAGATTTTTTGGATCTCCACTGTTTCTGGCTAGACATCATTTAAAAAATATCTTTAAGATTCAAAGTGGATGACCTCTTCCATGTTAAAATCTGTCCACTGCAGTTTCGCCCATTCTTGCTCTTTATACAGCATTCTTTCTCAGGATTGAGGATATTTGCTTCCACTCTGATTTGATGGGATAAGTCCAATGCGCAATCTGCATATTGGGCTACATGTGGGGCAGATGATACTTGAAGGGTTGAGTAGATGAATTGATTGGAGGTTTGTGTGCTTTCTCTATCACCGTTTCTGCATATCCCTGATAATTTTTCAGGATCTTTCTCAATAAATTTTGGTTTTGTTCAGTTGCAAGCCAGGAAATCCATGAGTTGATGGGGATGCTTGATCTCTTCGGTTATGTTTCAAGACCATCCCCAAAGCATTTCCATGCCGTCCTGACAGAATTCAGAGTAGAACAGTTCTTTTAGGAATCTGGCATCATGCATACAAATGTCACATCTTGGCCAGCAAAGTTGGTTTTGAGTGTTTAGTGCCTTATTGCCAATTCACTTGTAATCTCTTCACTTAATAGATCAAAAGCTCTGTAATTTTATGCTCCCTCTGACATCAACTTCAACTGTTACAGGGTGACAATATATTAGCACAGGCTTAGGATTTTTAAGGACACAGAACAGAATAAACAGCTTGTTTCAAGTTAGTAGGCTGGTACTTAGGAGCTGCAAGGTTTTTGCAAGGACTTTAGCTATTTGCAATCTATATTAATCAATTAAATGAAGGGATCAAGTATAATGTGTCCAGGTTTGCTGATGGCACAAAGCTCCAAAAAAGCAAGCTTTAAGGAAGACAAAGGCTGCAAAGTGATATGGCCAGATCACGTGAGTGGACAAGAAAATGGCAGGAAAGATGCGGAAGTGTTAGAAAAGGTGCAGTGGAGATTTACCAGGATGTTGCCTGAAATGGAGGGAAGGTCTGACGAGGAAAGGTTGAGAGAGCTAGGGCTTTTCTCTTTAGAACGAGAAGGATGACAGGTGACTTGATAGAGGTGTACAAAATGATCAGAGGTATAGATAGAGTAGGCAGCCAGAGACTTTTTCCTAGGGTGGAGGTAACTTTTACAGGGGACATAGTTTTAAAGTGAAAGGAGGTAGATATCGGGAAGACGTCAGAGGTAGGTTCTTTACTCAGAGAGTGGTAGGGGCGTGGAATGCATTGCCGGAGAGGGAAGTGGAGTCGGCCTCATTAGGGGCATTTAAGCAGCTATTAGATAGGCATATGGATGATAGTATAAAGTAGCGGTGGAGGTTAGATAGACCTTAGGTTTAGGGTAAAAGTTCGGTGCAACATCGTGGGCTGAAGGGCCTGTACTGTGCTGTACTGTTCTATGTTCTATGGCAGAAGGAATAAAGTTAACCGCAGTGGGAAAAACAAAGACCAAGTGGTCTAAAAAAAGATTTCGAGATCACCAGATTTAAAACAATATCAGGTAAGGGGAAATCCATGTCAGAGAATGGTTGTGGGCAACCTTCTTTGAGGTCATTAGCACTGTAGTCATTGCTGCTGACTGCAACATCCGAAATCCAGATCAATAATCTGTTTAATGCACAATAGGATTGTGGGTGATTTAAGAATCATGTTCGATCTCATATCCTAGCACTTGATGGCAGTGAACAAAAAGTAGGCTGTACTGAAAGACTGAGGGAAAATAATGAATGTATACAATTTATAAATTAAAATCTGTGCGCTTGAAAGTTATAATTCAAGGATGATAGCACAAAAAAATCTTTGCTTTGGAAATAAACAGCAGGCATTAACATATCAATGACAGCTACATCTCAACAGATATTGGAATCTGTTTTTAGAATCTAGCCTGTCATAATTCAGACAGCAAAAATACAGGCCTGGTTGGTCAGGGTGCACAGCATGCAAGGAAGATGAGGCTTGCAGAAGCAGTTTCATAACAATGGGGTTGGAATGAGATTGAAAGCTGTCTAGTCTAAGCAAGCAACCCTTTTATCAGTGAAGACTTGGAAGTTATCTTGAATAATTTTACTGTGCTGAAAAATGGCAGCTAACAACCACAAAGTGCAAACTCTTTGAGTAGGTGCGTAAGTGCCCAACTAAAAGAATCCATGCTGAGGGAAAAAAACAGATGATAAGCTGATGTAACAGCAGCAAACCTATGTGCAAAGAAAGGTATTTTAAGATGGAACAGGGTGTTTTTGGTTTGTTTTAAGAATTCTTTCAGAACTAGAGTTTTTTTAAATGTATTATCTTATAGATTTATTTTTAAAGTAGATAAGAAACTAATGAACCTGCCAAAGTTTATTTTAAAAATCAGCAATTTACATCAAACTGCAGTGTTCAGAGGTAAGAACAAAAGTAATTCCATCCTTAGCTAGGTTTGTAAATTAGAAGTATTGTGAGGAGCTCTACAAGTATTAGATCTGAGACAGCATACATCATACAGTATGAGTAAGCTCTCAGTTTACCTTGCATCAGTCAAGTGATAGACTGCTTCAAGTGAATTTTCTGTGGGCTCTTTTTATTCAGTAGTACTACCCCTCTGTCTGGGTAAGAAAGTCCAAGTTCAAGTCTCACCTGCTCTAGATGCCTGTCATTATACGTCCAAATAGGTTAATTAAAGATAATTTTGGAGAAGTGAAGTCAGTGGCATAGTGGCAATGTTGCTGGACTACTAATTTACAGGCCCAGGCTAAGGCTCTTGTACCAGGTGTTCAAATTCTATCATGGCAAATAGTCGAATCTAATTCCAAAAGCTAGTGTCTTTACGTCTGAGCTAGTAGATTTGGGTTCAAGTCCCACCTGCCATGAGGATATGCATAACATGTCTGAACAAGGTGATCCCAAGCAATTTTTATAATGATGGTTAAGCTGCTGTCTCATTTAAATCAGCATCCCATAAACATAATGCAAGACCCAATAATCCAAATGATTCTCAGACCTCTTAGTTACCATAAGCAGTGTGAGAATGAATAATTTTAACGTTACTCATCCAGTAAGTAACTTGATCAGAGAACCATTTTACACATTTTGCCTGTTTTACTTTGACTTTCCATTGAACTCAGTGAAAAGAGCGTAAAAGTGAGCAAGCCAATCTGATGATCAGTTCACCAAAGGACTGGATAGGTTAAAACTACCCATAGTCAGGTACAACAGCCATTGTCATGTATTCTTTAACGTTAAAACTGGTATGTATACATCTTTTTCAGTCATTTAGCAGCTTACATAGAAGAGAACCTGTATATATATTTCACTTCAACACTTGGTTCTTTGCTACTGCATCTGGTAAGAGTTCAAAAACACTGTCTGAACTGAAAGCAGCATATGCCAAGTCAATACCAGCAACGATTTTAATCATGAATGAACACGTACTTCACAAGTAACTGACATTGTTAATTTTATAATTGAACATTAGAGGAGTATTTCACAGAAAAACATTTGTTTTCTGCAAGGTTAACGTTCTGGTAGATTTATAAAGATTTTAAAGAATATTCCTAAAAACCTTCCCTCAAAATAATTAAATAAAAATCTTAGACCATAACTTGCTTAAGATCAGTATGTATTCTGTAAACAATAAAGAAACATGCTAACTGTTACAGAGCAGCCCCATGATCAGCCAGACAGGCTTGCTGATACACCATGCAGGTAGATTTGTAAGTGTCATTTTTGATAAGCATTGCTGAACTGAATGACGCCATAGCGCCCACTGGTCATCCATTCAGTATCAGAAACATCCAGTTGCTCAGCTTGCCCTGGTTTTAAGCCAACCTGAATATCAGCTTTCAGTGTTCTCAAGCTACAAAGTGCTGTGGGATGAAATCCACGTAGGGCAGTGTCAAAAGAAACAGTATGGTTCCATTTTCTGTCTCCTGTTAGTTTCCTGTAGTTCAGGTCTCCCTTAAAAAAGATCAAATTTGACTTCTTTAATTCAACATATAAATCATGTGCTGCAAGAGACATGTCACAAAATTCATGAGGGGCCGTCCAGAAAAGGTGATCATGATAAATCCAAATTCCTTGCTTCAGGTTCTTTTCCCACACCATACCACACATGGATATCTGCATGTGATCGGCTTCCTTCATCGTTTTTAGCGTCCAATCAAAATCTTTCCTGGTTATATCAGAAACAAACCAAGGTATGTTTTTGCCATGAAAGTGAATCACATCAGCCAGTCCAGAGGTTATAAGAAAATCTGCTAGTATCAAATCAGTCACCAGCTCAAATCCAGAATTGTCAAGGACAATATCTATGCGGGTACACGTTGTTTCTGAGGTTTTGTTTTTCTTTTTATTAATGAGCAGTTCCCAAACACATTCAGAATCATCTACCAGGATGAAAGGCTTCAAAGATTCCAGAGTGGTTAAAGGATTGAATGACTGAGAGTTGTCCTGACCAGCAGAAATGGAAAGGTCACATTTGTTTCCCCACAGTGCAACCTAGATTTACAAAAAAATGGAATTAGCAATCAAGATTATCTTCTCACAGTTGAAGAAATTAAAATGTTGACAGTGTCAAAACTGAATCCAGAAATCTTATTTCCCACATTAAGAAATGACTGCTTCCCGCCTACTTTAAACAAACAGAAACTAATCAAGAAAGACATTCATTTTCAATATTTCTTGATTTAATATTGTGCAGTTTAAAAAAAGTGAGTAGTCATTTGGTTGGAAAGAATCTGAGTGTCGATAAATAAAGATACATTTTGCTGAAGCTTTTCATCTTGAACTTATCAGGACAATTCAGAAGAAAGGGAAAACAACATTTACACTGTATGAGACAAGACTGCTGATCGGTTGTCAAATGGATGCATTGGTAGAGGCAGTGCATGGAGAATGCAGCAGTTAGATGATAACTGACAGTTAACTGCCAAGCCTTGTTTACATTTTAAATCAGGAAAACGGTCATTGATTTGAAGAGGCAATGACCTCAGAAATGAACCACCGTTTGACTATCACCTATTTTGATGAGCTGAAACAGGCATAGTGTGTGTACATGTTCTCTCTGTCTGCAAAGAACAGAGCCTGGTCTATCAATACATCGTTTCCTGATAAGTGCTCATTCTACCTCAGATAACTCTGGATGGTAAAGATTTGAGCAACGGGTGAAGTTAGCTGTTTTGCACTGCTACTATGAAGTGATATTTGTCATGGACAAGATGCTGCTATCAAGCAAAAAGGTGTTGCACAAATGTGTAATGTGGTAATTTAGTTTCAGTGCCAGTATGATACTAGTTTAGTAGGCCATATATTCCAAAGACTGGCAGATGATATCAAACCACCTGTCAACTTGGCTGTTGCAACAGGCAAGTTACTGACCATATCCAACATGTTTGGCTTGCAAAACTCAGTAGTGTCCTACATTAGTTATGATTCCACAATAGAATGCTGGAGCAAATGCTGTCCAGACTTTGCAAAAAATACACTGACAATCAATTTAGAATTGTGCCTGATTCAATTCAACAAAATTAGGTGACATCTCTAGTTAATTTCTCAGGGTAATGCCTTCAACAATCAAAGTCAACCAGCCTTTTTTTTTAATATTCATTTGTGGGATGTGGCCATCGCACCAGTATTTATTGGCCATCCATCGTTGCCCTTGGAAAGGGTATGATGAGCTGCAGCCTTGAACCGTTGCAGTTCACCTGCTATAGGTTGACCCACAATGCCATTAGGGAGGGAATTCCAGGATTTTGACTCAGCAACAGGGAAGGAATGGTGATATATTTCCAAGTCAGGATGGTGAGTGGCTTGGAAGGGAACTTGAAGGTGATGGCATTCCCATGTGTCTGCTGCCCTTGTCCTTTGAGATGGAAATGGTTGTGGTTTTGGAAGGTGCTGTTTGAGGATCTTTGGTGAATTTCAGCAGTGCATCTTGTAGACAGTACACACTGCTACTGCACATCGATAGTGGAGGGAGTGAATGTTTGTGGATGTAGTGCCAGTCAAGCATGCTGCTTTGTCCTGGATGGTGTCAAGCTTCTTAAGTGTTGTTTGAGTTGCACCCATCCAGGCAAATGGGGAGTACTCCATCCCACTCTTGACTTGTGCCTTGTAGACGGCGGACAGGCTCTGGGGAGTGTGGAGGTGAGTTACTCAACACAGTATTTCTAACCTCTGACCTGCTATTATAGCCACTGTGTTTATGTGGAAAGTCTAGCTGAGTTTCTGGTTTAAAATTTAATCAAAGCTTGGCACTTAACCTTTAGTCATCATCTAACTGCTTCATTCTCCATGAAAACACCTCACCAATCAGAGTCCAGAGTCAATGAATTAGTAACCAACCTTTCAGAGTATTGTTGGCTTCTCTTTACACTGGTATTTCTTTCAAACTGTCCTGAGAGTGTGGTTCAAAAATCTTCAACGGACTGTCTTTTTTAACAAAATTAGTTGATGGCATGTAACAAAATCTGAATATTATAGTAAGAAACAGTTAAAGTATATTTTTAACATTGCAGACTTATTACCATGACCACACATCAGAAATTTGAGAATACTGATGTGTAAACTGTAAAAACTGCAAACAGCAATGCCACTCAACTAAATATTTTCAAATAAAAAATTGCTATTACAGTTGGATTTTGGACAGCTTAAAAGTACACTGGTTTTGGAAGCAGTCCAGAGCAGGTTCACCAGGCTGATATCAGCCTTGGTCATTCCCCTACAGATAACATTGCTCTTTGACACAAAAATCAAAGCATTCCCTAGAAATATGTCTGATCTGTAGCTGGTATGTTGTATATGGCCAAATAGAAACTCAAGTAAATCAATACTTTTGTCTTTTTATTGATAATTTAGCAGTTTTTCTATTTGAATTTTCTTGGCCTGGTGATTTGAAAAGTGATGTGTTCTGTTCAGGAAATCGCAATTCAGAACAACAAAATTCCGTTTGCATCAGCAACTTGAGATACACATAAATCAATGGGAACATTGAGTTAAACATCAAGGCTATACTGAATGCACTGAGGCAGGCCAGAAAGTAAAACCTCCTCGGGGCATTTAATTATTTTGGTAACTGTGCAGCTTTGAATCCTGTTTGTAATCGTATGCTATTCATTCAGCTTCTTTTTAGAAAATAGATATATAAGTTAGTGATTTCAAATGAAATTCGAGGAATAAAGCATTTCTTGTTAAGTCTCCATGTAGTTCCCCAAATTACAAAACAAAATAAATATTAGCAGTGTGCATAAATAATTTACCTATTTTAAACAAACTGGGAGCTGGCGTTTCTAAAAGAAAATCTTTTAAGCATTTTGTTTGATGCAAGTTAGTGTAACCCATGCATTTTTACACTGATGATTTTTTAAGTTTTTCGATGTGCTTACAGCAGCCTTGGCAGATTTTGTAAGCTCAGACATAAGGACAGCTTCAAAGAAGAGTCATATTAGATTTAAAACATCAACTCTGCCTCTGTCTGCAAAGATGCTGCCAGACCTGCTGAGTTTCTCCAGCACTTTCTGTTTTTATTTCAGATCACCAGCATCAGCAGTACTTTATTTTTATTTAGGTAAGACAAATGTAACTGATCCCCGATAACTAAGTAATCAACAATAGATTGACAAGCACATGATTTCTGCAAGTCTGCAAATTGATGGATATGGGTAGACAGAACCTTTATGAAGGATCATATGAAGATGTATATGTAGTGCCTCCCTTTACCTCAAGAAAACAATATGAATTACCTCAACAGACCAAAGATTTAAAAAGGCTGATCTGTGTGTAATTGGCTGTAGATAGAGTGTGCTTGTGAGGGTTATGTGGTGCAGTGGTAGTGTTCCTACCTCTGGTCCAGCAGGTCTAGTACAAGCCCTACAAGCCCCACCTACCCCAGAGGTGTGTCATAACATTTTCAAACAAGTTGATTAAAATCATAAAACCAGAAGTAATCATTCAGTCCATCGTATCTCCTTTGCAATTCAACAAGATCATGGCTGATCTCACAATCCTCAAATCCACTTTCCTGCCTTTTCCCTTAAACTCTTGATTCCATTTACTGACTCAAATCTGTCTACTCAGCCCTGAGTATACCTAATGACTCAATATCAACAGCCTGAATCTCAAATTCACTCATCTGAGATAAAAACAATTCCTCCTCATCTCTGTCTTAAATATGTGACTCCTTATTCTGAGGTTACGCTGCCTGGTCCTAGACTCTCCCAGAAGGGGAAACAACCTTTTTGTATCTAGCCTGTTGAGTCCCCGCAGAATCTTGTATGTTCAAATAAGGTTACCTCTCGTACATCTAAATTCCAATTAATACAGGCCCAAACTACTCAACCCTTCCTCCTAAAACAGTCCCTCCATACCTGATATCAGCCTGGTGAACCTGCTCTGGACTGCTTCCAAAACCAGCATATCTATCTTCGGATAAGGGGCCCAAAACTGTTCAATGTATTCCAGCTGTGGTCTAACTTGTGCCTTGTATAGTTCTGGCAAAACCTACCTACTCCATTCTCTTTGAAATAAAGGCCAACATTCCACTTGCCTTCCCTATTATCCCAATGAATCTGGAAACTAGCTTTTTGTGATTCATGGATAAGGACTCCCAAATCCCTCTTGTTCAGAGCTTTCTGCAGTCTTTCTCAGTTTAAATAGTATTCAGTTCCTCTATTCTTCCTACCAAAGTGCATAACCTCATTTTCCTACATTGTATTCCATCTGCCAAATTCTTGCCCACTCACTTAATCTCTCTATATCCCTCTGTACGCCCTTTGTGCCATCCTCACAACTTGCCTTTCTATCTATTTTGTCATTCGCAAACATGGCTATAATATATTCACTTTCCTCATCTAAGTCATTAACATATATATTGTAAATAATTGGAGACCCATCATTGATTCCTGTGGCACTCCGCTCATTACAGGTTGCCATCCTGAAAATGTCCCCTTATTCCAGCTCTCTGTCTTCCATTTGTTAACCAATCCTCTATCCATGCTAATATACTGGCTCCAGCACCATGGGCTCTTATCTTATTTAGTAGCCCAATGTGCAGTACCTTATCAAATGTTTTATGGAAATCCAACTATATTACATTAATGCTTCCCCTTTATCTATTCTGCTTTTTAACTCCTCAAAGAATTCTAGTAAAATAACTAACTACAAAGTTTACAGATCCTGCTGGTTGCTCCTTTTGATCTACAATAATATTAATATTATTACACTGAGACATTAATATCATGCCTACCCTTGAAAAGTTACCTCTGAAGATACAACTGCTTTTTACATCTCTTTGTGACATTTACATTGCTCCAACAGTGCTGCAGACACGCTGTTAATGAGGTCTTGTTTAGATTAACATATAATAAAATAAAACTCAGAAGCTAACATTAGATATATCTTTTACTTTGAAACCATACCGAATAAAAGCAAGGAAATACTCAAACTTCTTTCTTTAACAAGCTTCACATTGCAGTTTTTCATATGATACCGAGTATCATAACCAAGCTCAAGAGACCTAAGTGAATCATGAGTCAATTATTATAAAGTACAAACTGATATTGGGACTTCTTCGCAGCTACATTCAATATTAATTCATAGTATCTACACAAATATAAATCAATACACTGTTTACTTAGGTAAGACCTACCTGCATGAGCAGAAGAAGCTCAGCTTTGAGTTGGGTATCCTTCAAATGTTCTATTTTCTTAGTCATTTCCAGAAAGTAGGTGCAAAGAGCAATGATAGCTTGCTGTGACCCTAAGAAACTTTGGGTCTTTGCTTCATTAAATACATCAAAATCACACATGGGAGGACTGCAGCGCACAAAAGAGAAAGCTAAATTAAGTTACAGACTTTACAGCTGAAAGTTTAACATTTCTTGCTATTTAACCTCATCAATTCTAGTTGATCTCTTGTAAAATTGTTCAGACAAAAATAAATGATTATATTTATTTACATACATGTTAACATAGAAAAACATCTCAGGTGCTTCACAATGAGATAAAATAATGCTTTTATATGGCAACGTATTACATCCTTAGCCAAGGAATCATGGGGTCACAATTTTGAATTTACAAATGCCACAAAACTTATGTTTGGTTTACAGAAAGGGACATTTGTTTTCTGAGTATAGAGACAGACTAATACATTGATGGTGAATGAAATTTAGTTCATGGAAAGAAAAAGTGATGTATTTCGGTACAAAGAACACATTCTCAATGGTAAAACATCAGGAGGAGCAGAGCAATTTAGGATTATAGATATGCAAATACTTAAAAATAGGAGAACAAACTGATAAATATGTAAAGACACCGTGCAAATGCAATTTCTACCCTTCAAATGCAATTTCTACCCTTCAAATGCAACTTCTATCCTCGGTTTATATTATAGACATAATTTCTTTCAATGTTTAAATTTACTTTTAATGCATCACTTTACTCACTTGAGTTGTAGTGATTCCTGAATCCTACGGTACATGTAACACTCCATGTACAACCAGGGTGATTTAAACCAGCTGGGGTATTCATCTTTATCCAGTCTAGCCTGTTGCTGTTCTAGGTATTCATTCCACAAGTCAACATCAGGTAATCCATCCGTAAGTGGTAGTGCTGGCTTGTCAGTTTGCACCTCATTTCGTAACTTAGCTAAGAGATAGATAGCTCTCTTTTCTGCCTCAACACCTTCCTAGAAAAATACATAGCATCATCTTAGATACATTTAGGCAAAATTATCACAAATTAACGTTATTCTTTATGCAACATATGACAAAATACAAATCGAACATTTTGATATGTAATTTTTATACTTTAAAACAATTTATACATATCTTTCCCATTTCTCACAAAACTTGATGATCTGACACACAAATGAGCTGATAAATTATGACACTATTTGGGCAATTTTGTTTTTGATAATTCATTACAAATGAATCACAAAGTAGGAAACGGATATTCTGTGCTTGTAGATTTTGCTCAAAGAGCATCCCAATTTAACCTCAGCGTCCTCTTCACTCCCAACAATCTTCAATCCTCTTTGCTAATTCAACTAATTTTTTTAGTGCTACATTAATGTTCATTTATTACTCATTGTAATTGCTCTGTTTTATTGGCTGCACAGTGAGTTGAAGGCTGTGGAGGCAGACAGGAAAGTGGAGTCAAGGCCATAATCAGATAGCCATTATTTTATTGAATGACAGAGTAGCTCAGTGGGCCAAGTGGTCTACTCTTGTTCTATTTCTTCTGCTCTTATGATCAGAGATTTCTTGACATTAGAGGACAAGAAAGAGATCTCTGTACCTAAATCCCTTTATTCTATTAAGAATAAAGAATTAGAAAGTTTAAGCACGACTCCAAGAATTGAGTAAAAACAAATGTAGGCTGACTCTCTAGTGCTGCACTCTGAGGCGCTATCTAGCAGATGAACCAACATTAAGCTAACAGCCTGTTTGCTTCGTCAGGCAGGTTTAAAAGATCCCATGGACCTATTTGAAGAACTGTAGAATATGTTGGCTAACATTCACAAACATAATGTTAGACTCTCAAATCCGTTCTATCATTTAATTAGATCATGGTATACTGACATCACAACACCATTAACTACATTCTCTCCTTATTATTACCTAACAAAAATCCAATAATTTCATTCTTTAAAATTTCAATTGATCAAGCACACATATCTTGGAGAATCAAATTCTACAGAATCAAATTCTACATTTTCACTTTGCTCTGTGCAAAAATAAATACACCTGATTTCACTCCCAGATGGCCTAGCTGGAGTTCTGAAATAATAACCCTGTTTGAGATTCCTTCAACACAGGAAATATTTTATTTGTATTGACTCTGTCTAGTCACCTAATAAATTTCAATAACCTTTTAAGTTCACCACTAAACTTTCTAAACTCCAGCCAAAGTAGGTTTATGCAACCTATTAACTGAATTTAACATTTTAAACTTGGTACCAAGTTTGGTATCAAAGAATAAAAGATTTGGTAAATGCAGTATGTGAGAAAACAGGAGGTTGTCCACTTTGGTAGGAAGACTGAAAGGCAGAATAGTACTAATGTTTTAACCAGTTTTAACTAGTTTTAACCAGTCAGCTCGGCGAACCAACAAACAACTCCAGAATAGCAATGAAATGGGAAGAGATTGCATAATGCTGCAGTACAGAGAAATCTTGGTATTGTATTACAGAATCACAAAAGGTAGCATGTGAGCGGATCAAGTAGTTTGGAAGGCAATTGGAACGTTGGCCTGTTTGCAAAAGGAAATGAAAGAAGGGAAGTGTTGTTACACCTATAGAGGACTTTAATACGACTGCATTTGGAGTACAGAGTTATAGGATCATACAGTACAGAACAGGCCCTTCGGCGCATCAAGTCTGTACCACCAAAAATACACTACTACCTACACTAGTCCCACTTACCACACCCCGAAACGTTAACTCTGATTTTCTATTTGCAGATGCTGCCAGACCTGCTGTGCTTTTCCAGCAACTTCTGCTTTGGTTCCTGTCCATAAGTGTGTACAGTTTTGGTCTACTTCCTTAAGTAAAGATATAATTGCATTAGAAGCAATTGAAAGAAGATTCAGTCAACTAATTCCTGGGAATGAAAGGAGAAATGAAGAGAAGGTTGTGCAGATCGGGCCTATACCCACCAAAATGTATTAGAATAAGAGGTGATCTTATCGAAACATGTAGGTTCTGAGGGGATTCACAAGGTGGATACTAAGAGGATGTTTCCTCTCATAGGGGAGTATAGGACACACAGCTTAAAAATTAGGTGTTTCCCAAATAAGACAAATAAGGAGAATCTTTTACTCTCAGTGTTGGTCTGTGCAATTCTCTCCCCAGAGAGCAATGAGGCTGGATCATTAAATATATTCAACGCTGAGTTAGATGGATATTCTTACCTTCTTGTGTGTTTACTCTGGTGAATTTGCACTATACCACTTTCAAGGCCATTACATCTTTCCTTAGGTTTTGATGTTCAAAATTGAATGTTTTCTTCCGAATGTGATCTGACCATGGTTCTGTGCAATTGAAGCATCACTCCCTCCTCCTTTTGAATTCTAGCCCCCTTGAAATAAAGTCAGTGGGTCAGATTTTCCGAGGAGTGGCAATCTCACTCAGATTATCACTTTGATTCTGCAAAAGGAGAGCCACATCTCCAAGAAGAGATTCCACTCAGGAGTTTCCTCAGAAATGCAGTCTTATTTCCATTTGGATCAGGTCCAGTAGCAGGGAGATTGAGTTGGGTCGAGCAGGGGAGGCTTTGGTCCCGGGGGATACATTAACGCCGAAATCCCTTAGAAGTTTCTAGTAGTCCACCATAATTAAAATATTGTATTTTGTTTCCCAGATCAAAAATGGACGATCTCATACTTTCCCTCATTGAACTGGAATTGTAATTGTTTTGTCTCCTCAGGTAATCTGCCTGCTTCATTTGTTACCTCCTCCTGCCAAACACAACTCATTGTGTCCCCAGATTTAAGTGTCACCTATCAATTTGGATGAACAACTCTCTATTCCTTCATCCAACCCAAAAGTATGTTGAACTGCTAAGGCACTTCAGATATCATCGTGACCACTTGTCACATTCCACCTAAAAGAGTAAGAACTATGCATCCTTACTTTGTCACCTACCTGACGACAGATTCATCTCAAAATCAAAACATTATAGTTCAGTCAGATAGTTCTTGATTTGTTTTTTCACAATGTGGAGCTCACTGTCACATGGAATGGCTGAAGCAAACAGGATTGATGCTTTAAAAAGTGGGATTTACTGTATAAATGAGGAAAAAGGGAATATAACAGGTATTGGGGTAAGATGAAAGAGGCAATTAGGCTAATGTGGAATATAACCAACCTGGAGAGAATAGCATGTCATTTAAATTTTGTATTCTTAATTTGATATCTGTAGAATCTTGTGTACGGGAAGTCAGCCATAGCCTACTAATTTCCAAATAATAGAATCTGTCAGTTTACCTAAAGCTTTGATCCAAGTCTTTGCAGAATAACTTTAACAAAAAAATCAAGCAGATGGAGTAGCAAATGAAAGTTACTGATCAGAAATAAAACAATACTCTAGCCTTACAATGCTGAGAACAATATCTTCCTTTAATATTTTAATATTGAAATTTACACCTGCTTTACTTATTCATGTTAGGTACATTACTAAGTCCCACTGTCAAAAATTAACAAAATTTACCAAGCTCATCTGAAAACTTCCCAATTTCAAAAAGTTATCATGGAATCATATAGCACAAAAGGAAGCTATTTGGCTTAATGTGTCTGCACCAATTCTTTGAAAGCACTATCCAATTAGTCCCAAGCCACTGCTCATTTCTCACAGCAATCCATATTTTTCCTTTAAGTATATACAGTATCCAATTCCCTTTCAAAACTTACTATTAAATCTGTTTCCACCATCTTTTCCAGCAAATCATTCCAGACCATAAGACATGGCATACTGCTTTAAAAATATGAATCCCTCTGCTGGATTTCTAGCAAATTATCTTAAAAGTATGTCTTCTGGTTACTGACTCATCTGCAATTAGAAATGGTTTATCTCTTTATAATCTATTAAAGCCTCTCAAGTTTGAACACCTTTATTAATTCCTCTCTTAAACGTCTCGGACCAGCATCCTCCCTTTCCTCTTCACTGCGCTGGACTGAGATCAATCCAAGCTTCTTTTGTCTCTTCACGTAACTGAAGTCTCACAGCCTTTCTATTAAAACTCCTCTGCACTCCAACGTTATTTTTGAACAAGTTAGTAAAGTTACATTTCCAACTCCATAACAGTCAATCTCCACTCACTTGTCCATGTTCCTCAAAAAAGGTATCCATGTGTCGATGTACTGAATCAATAGCCTTAGTCAGTATCCGTGGCAGTCTGTCTCTAATAGTTAAGTACGCAAATGACCTACAACAGAGAAATACTATACATCAGGAAGGTTATATGGCTACACGATGCAAGAAGTTAGTAGAGATTTTTCAGTACAATGTCAGGATCATGGAGGACTCTTTTGGCATAACTGGCTGATCACCTAAATAACCAAAATATTACTTCTCTGGCATATCAGGAAAAACCTTGAAATGATAGGAAAGTGCAAATATGGCATAAAATCAATACTGTATTTTATTCCAATTGAACCAGGCTTCTGTTCAGCAGAGAACACGTACAATGCACAAGCTAAGGATGGCTGAGTTGCAAAAATGAAATCACTGAACAAACTTTGATGTTGCAGATTTCTCTTTACTATATATGAAATTACATGGACCACTGGGACCAGCATTCAAGTTCAACCTTCACAGGTGTGAATTTTTCTCTGCCTGCTGATTGTGTGGGCCTTTTGTAAAATAAATTTGTCCAACTTCACTAAACAGCCTCAGATTCAGCAACAACAGAGAACGCACTCTGAAAGGCCATGGGATGACTGGTGTGGAAAATAGTGCAATAGGCATGTTAGGCAAATCAATCTTTCAGATCAAACATTAATCTACCTTCTAACGTTTACCCTCTCCTGTGGAAGTAAAAGAACCCTTTACGTGATTTGAAGAGCAAGGGAGACCTGATCAACCAACATGATTAAAACAGATTATCTTTTCATTTTCACATTGTCTTTATTGGGGCTTTGCTGTTTCCAAATTGGCTGCTTTTCCAACAACAGGCTACACTTCAAAATTCACTTGACCTACTATAAAACACTTTGGGATGTCAGGGATGAGTAAGAGCCACTGCAGAAGTGCAAGTCTTTATTTCAACAACTGTAGATGCACAATGGTTTAATCTTTGTTGTTAATGTTCTGTATTCATCTCAATTCCAGGGCCACAGCCTAAGCACATTGCAGAGATGATTCCCTGAAAATATAGCCAGAGTGGAGTGGCGTGAAATGGTCGATGAATCTTGCTTATATTGGAATTACAGTTTCTCTCAGATGGTGCCATTCTTGCCTCAGAAGCGAGAAGCTAGAACATGGAAGTTTTCCCCACTGTAGAATTTAAGCTTTAGCTGGATACACATTAGTGCAGAACCGAGGAAACACTGCTTTGTTAATAGTGTCATGAAGATGCTAAACTGAGACCCAAGTTCAACTAGAAAGAAGTTGTCCCATAGTTTCTCTGGAAATAGCAGCATTTTCCCTGTTCACGGGTAAACATTTTTCTCCAAATCAACACCACCAAAAATGGATTAATTACATCATAGAATCCCTACAGTGCAAAAAGAGGCCACTTGGCCCATCCAACCCAACCACACATTTACTATGGCTAATCCGCCTAGCCTGTACATTCCTGGACACTGCAGGGTAATTTAGCATGGCCAATGCACCTAACTTGTACGTCATGAGACTGCAGGAGGAAACCACAGCACCTGGTGGAAGCCCACGCAGACTCAGGAAAAACATGCAAAACTCCACACAGACAGTCATAGAGTCATACAGCACACAAACAGACCCTTTGCTGCAACTCATCCACGCTGACCAGGTATCCCAAATTAACTAGTCCCATTTGCTATCGTTGGCCCATAACCCTCTAAAACTTTTCTATTCGTGTACCCATCCAAACGTATTTTAAATATTGTAACTGTACCCACCTCTACCATCTCCTCTGGCAGCTCATTCCATAGACACACCACCCTCTGTGTGAAAAAGTTGCCCCTCGGGTCCCTTTTAAATTTTTCTCACCTCTCACCTTAAACCTATGCCCCCTAGTTTTGTACTCCGCTACCTTTGGAAAAAGACATTGGTTATTCACCTTATCTATGCCCTTCATGATTTATAAACCTCTATAAACCTCAGCCTCTGATGCTCCAGGGAAAAAAAGTCCCAGCTATCCTTATAATTCCAAACATGCAACATGCTTGTAAATTTTTTCTTCACCCTTTCTAATTTAACAACATCCTTCCTAAAGCAGAGGATGGAACTGAACCCCAGTCCCTGGCACAGTGATCAGCAACGCTAACCACTGAGCCACTGTGCCATTCAATGTGTTCAACTGTTTCACTGATACCGCAAGATTTTTGTGTGGCTATAAGAATGTTAATATGGTCTCACCGAAATTCATTACAAAGTCACTTCTAACTTTAACAACTGTAAAATCTCATCAAATATTTTACTTAAGAAACAAAATCAGATAGATCTAATTAGTTTTAAGTATTTTGTTCTCCGTGGTGACAAATAGAACTGTGCCGGAAGTTTTGTTATCTCTAGACCTGACTATTCTGAGCACTCTTGGCTGGCCTCCCACTTCCTACCTTCCAGAAACTTGAAGTCAAGCAAAATTCTGCTGTCTGTCCTAAATCACACCAAGTTCCATTTACTCATCACCATTATACTCACTGACCTATACTGAGGCCTACTGACAATCATTTGGATTTTAAAATTCTCATTTTTTAACTTGAAATCCTTCCATGACTTTTCCTCTCCCTATCGCTGTAATATCCTGAAGTCATACAAGCTCCAAAACATATACTCTCCAATTCTGGTCTCTTGCATCCCTGATTTAGTGTCTGTGCTTTCAGAGAAGTCCTTAAACAATATAATTCCATCTCTTAACTTCTATATCTCCATTTCCTCCTTTGAGATTTTTCTTGAAACCTAACTCTTTAACCAAGTCAACTGACATAATATCTCTTCATGTGGTTGAGTTTTAAATTTTGTCTTGTAACATTTCTGTGCTTTGGGATATCTTCCTATTTTGAGCATGATATAAATACAAGTAGTTCATGCTGTTGGGAGTTTTTTCTCTCATGTTAGATATATTTTCCAGTAAGTGATACTAAACTTACACAATATCTACACATAACCCTAAAGAAAAGATTTTAATTCAGAAAGCAAAATGCAATTTTCATTGGTATTTCTCACAACAATGTTACACCTTTCAAACAAAAGAACCCTTGTGAAGTCATGGGTTTCCAAACTTTACACTTCTTGAACTTTCAAGGTGTCACTAATAAGACATGTGAAAATTCCAAGAGTGAAAGATTATGTAAAAATTAGAGTACATTTTGACACAGTCAATGGGCGGAGAATATTGCCTCGATGCCTCTGTCTTTTTGTTTGGAAAATGATGGCAATGTATTTCTGAAATTATTTTAAGATTTCAAAATGAGACTGATGAAATTTTGCCAGTTCTTTATTTTTGTCCTCTTTATATCCACACTGAAAGAATAATTATTCAAACTACAGACTTGGGACAGGTTGCCAATAAACATTTACATTTGCAAAATGGCCAATGTGGAAAAATGAGAAAATACATAGTGCTGACTAAACTCCATCTTGCTGAAGACAGATGGTTGGATCAACAGTGTGGGAACATAACCCCAGAGAGTATATCAGTTGAAAGGTCATCCATTTTCTCAGTAATGAAACGCAGTAAGCCAGGTCAGCACTACTACCCTTAATGATAAACATTTTTCAAGAACTTAACCTTCAGATCTATTTTCCCTTGAAAATTATTGTTTCCCTTCCTTTATTCGTTTAATTTCCTTGTTTTTTTTTAAAAGGGGCAAGTTGCTTTAATGTAGTTGGCAGCAACATCAATGTTTGCAATTTTAATTAGCTCCCAAAAAATGCAACTTGGTTTTAATAATTTAAAAACCAATATCAGCATTTTTATCATACAGTAGCTACTATTTCAAAGTTGTTTGGGTATCTGGGAAGAAATCTCAAAAGTACATTCTCAATGACCTATAACTTAATCTCACAGTGCAAGAATCATGAGGTACAAAACTTTTGAGTTTGACCAAGACATGAGAGTGGAATGAAATAACAGTCACAAAAGTAGGGATCATAAGTTACAAACTTAAATACTGCATATTCTTAAATGTCAATCATTAACCTTTGACTTTTACAAGTAAAGGCATGTCAGGTGAAATAATTAGGTATGGTGAGACGTACCTATGATGAAGGCAGTGTCTGAGTTGACACTGGTGTCAGTGGGTAAGTTTCAAATCCACTATAGACTAATGCTATATCTAACATCTCTTGTGTGAATACCATTAAGCAGCACTGTATTATAAAATACTCTAATTAGTGTATAAAAAGGAACAAAATCTGAGAAAACACTGGCTGAGAGTGTTTCAAGGCCAGAGGAATCCTGGTGTGAAGCTTCATTGAATTGCATGATTTCAGCTACAAACTTCAAATATAAAATTAATGATACCTCAGCTGGGCAGTCTGAGAAATTTAAACATTGTTGAAGTTCCACCATATCCACCCTCCAGTTTGCAATATTCTAGGAAGGGCATTTCCCATTAATTGGAGTAGCATTCAAGAAATCCTTCATTCATTTAATTTCACAAATACATACGGTGAAATCACGATGAGTCAAATTGAATAACCCAAAACTCTGGATCTACTGAAGTCATCATCCAGTCCCACCAGCCTAACAGCATAGCAAACAGAATGGTGTCAGTGAAAAGACAAAATTCTGAACTGGTCATTTTGGATTAGACAAGCTTGTCATCTCACCATGCCAACCAATCGGAGTAAAGTTAGGCCAGACTAGAGTGTGACATCATGCAGCTCTGGGCAAGCCATCATTTGAAATCAAGACCTCTCTGTGAAAGTACATTCAAAGCCTGCAAATTTGGCTAGACCTACGAGCAAGTTTAAAGTGTTATCAAAGAGGAAGTCAAGTAGATAAAGCAAGTGGAATACCGTGATGCAAAATGAAAAAATGTCATTGCTAAGTGGAAAATTCAAGCACTGAGTTTGTCAATCACTCTGAAACAGAAGACAAACAATTTGAAGCAGTTTGACAAGCAGGCATTCTCTCCAGCAAGGGAGGATGAGAAATGGCTGCCTATTGCAATGTTGAATAAGTTCTGATAATGTAGTTCAAGACAGCTCAAGCTGGGAACATTCCCATCTCCAGCCCAATCCTGCAGGAAAACTGAATCTCGCTAGCCAAGAAGGTGGGCCATAACAAGTCCAAATGCAACTATGATGGCTGGACCAGTTCAAAGCAAGGCATAGCGTTGTCTTCCGCAGGATAAGCAGTGAGGGTGCAATAGTTATGGCAGCAATGACAGGTGACTGGCTCCAAAACCTCTTCGACCTGTTTGTTTCCTCTCCACCTATCCTCTCCTCTATCCCTCTTCTATCCGCCTCCCACTCTCTCCCTATTTATTTCAGAACCCCCTTCCCCTCCCACTTTTCTGATGAAGGGTCTAGGCCCGAAACGTCAGCCTCTCTGCTCCTATGATGCTGCTTGGCCTGCTGTGTTCATCCAGCCCTGCACCTTGTTGTCTCGGATTCTCCAGCATCTGCAGTTCCTACTATCTCTGGCTCCAAAACTATCTATTCTGAACAAGTATGTGCCAAGAATCATGTTAACGCAGGTAAAACCAGATTGCTTTTTGATGTTTAAAGATTAATTGATAGAAAGTGCAGCAAGTTATGTGTCACTACAATGGTCTGTGTCCAATATGGATGGCACCAAAAAACTACCACTTCTTGCAGCAGGAAAGTAAAAGAAGCCATTTTGCTTTACATATATCAAGTCATTAGCCACACAAAAACTGTCTCAATGACTCTCAGCATTTTTAAAGCATGGATCAGGAAAGTACACAAGATATTTTAATCGAAGTATGATTATCATCATCCAGATAACTGTCTCTCACACCCTGACAACACTGGACCATCAAGCTGATATTCTTTTCTCCCAGCACCAAACAAAGCTCTTGCCAATGAATCAGGAGGGAATAGGCAGCTGATCTCTCAGGTTACCTAGGCCATCAAAAAGCAGACGTATAACCCAACTCCCAAAAACTGTCTTTGACTTTTACAAGGTCAGGCCATTCTAAACTGCAAAAAATTGAAAAGAAAGGTATTTTTCACATATTTACTGCAGTTTCATTTAAGGTTTTTTTCAACATAGAGCAGATTTGTAGACAAACTGGATCACTTAGGGGCAAATTTGTGATCAGATCCCCTAGGATTTGAGTTATTGTGACTTTACTGTAACACAATCTGTAATGAAACACTTTCCTGCATTACGAAAAATGCAACACCCAAGTGTCATGTTTTATCTCTTGCAAGCCCATTTTGAGAGAAAATCCTGTTCTACAGTAAGTCATTAGTCTTAGCTGAATAAAATAAGTTTTCCTAAAGGATATTGTGATTCATAGAATTTATTTTCCAATCCAACATCTGTGTGTCTGTCAACTCTGAAATTCATTTAATCTAAGGATATATTCTGATACTGAAAGGAGAGCAAAACATTCAAATCAACATGGGGTGAAGCCTCAAGGCGCTGATGCTTTCTTATGAACTCAACAATACTAATGCTTCTAAATATCATGGGGAGGTAGTTTGGTTCTCTTACTGAAGAAGGGCATGATTAGTATCGGTGTAAATTTAATATTACTCATCATTTTATCAGCCCTGTCTTGAATATTGCCAAGGTCTTTTTGAATGCAGGTTTGGACAGTTTCATTAGCTGAAGAATTGGGAATGATATTGTGTGTTGTGCAATGATCAGGAAGTAGCCTCACTTCTGTGCTTACAATGAAGGGAAAGGTCATTGTTGTAGCAGTTGAAAGTAGTTGGGCCTAGGATGCTGCCTTGAGCAACTCCTGCAGTAATGTTCCGAGGCTTAGATGGTGGACTTCCAATGACAATAACCATTTTCCAGCTACTGAGGCATTTTCCCTGTTACCACATGTGATCAAAAAACATCTTGTTATTTTGTGAGGTAAAGGATGTGAACCAGACAATGAGACCTGGATTTGAGTGGTTCTGATGGAATTCAAACTGAGCACCTGCTAGCAGTTTGTAAATGAGATGCTCTGTTGATGAATCCGTTAACCACATTGCTAATGAGATGGAAATTTACCTGATGGAATGTGCCTGCTTGTGAAAGGACAATTTTCCACATTGTTCAGTAGATGTAGCTCTTTTTAAACATCTTACTTGTAGTTGTGACTGTGGGGACCACAGATGGAAGTGGAGATGGATCATCCACACAACAATCCTGACTAATGATAGTTACAATGCTTCAGCTCATTTTTGTATTCAGTTGTGCTGTGCTGTCATTAATGAAGAATGGTAATGCCAATAAACCTCCTAATGATATCAACATTTTTAATTTGTGACAGGATTGCAGCGTTTTAAGCTGGTCCATTCATTATGTGGTCATTTAGCCAAAAGTGGTACATTACTGTCACTGCTTAGAATGCTATAATTCTACGTTGTAGTATCACCAGTTTGGCACACAATTTTCAGGTAGATCCTTATACTACGCTCCACACGTGGTCATGTGCATGTCTATATTCCTCTTTGAATCAGGGTTGGTCACCTAGCATTTGGGCTACTGGATCTTTAGAATCATAGAGATGTACAGCATGGAAACAGTCACTTCGGTCCAACTCATCTATGCTGATCAGATATCCTAAATTAATTTAGTTCCATTTGCCAGCATTTGGCCCATATCCCCTAAACCCTTCCTATTCATGTACCCATCCAGATGCCTTTTGAATGTTGTAATTGTACCAACCTCCACCACTTCCTCTGGCAGCTCATTCCATACACGCACCACCTTCTGTCCCTTTAGATCCCTTTTTAAATATTTTCCCTCTCACCTTAAACCAATGCCCTCTAGTTTTGGACTCCCCTACGATGAGGAAAAGACCTTGATTATTTACCTTTTCCAAGCCCCTCATGATTTTTTGTCTTTATATAGTCAGCAGTGATTGTACCTTATGATATGATGGATGATACCCTCAGTCTGGCACTTGCATCCACAATGCTACATGGAACAATTTGGCTGGAAAACACTTTGGACAGAACTTTCTTTCTCTCTATCAGAAGATTGTTAGTCTATGGCATTCTCTTCCTCAGAAAGTCGTGAAGGCTGTATCATTACATTTATTCAGGTCAGAGTTGGAATTTGGATAGACAAGGAAGTCCAGGATTACTGAAGCAGGCCCACGGCAAAATGCAATTGAAATCAGTAAAGCAGGCTTGAATGTCCTAAACCTGCTCTTAAATCCTATATTCCATTGGAGCAACCTGAGGTCATCAAAGGCACTACATCAATGGAAATCACTTTCCTCATAAAGCAATCCAGCCTAAGCAATCAAAGACGACAAATTCTGTCAGGGCAATTTTTTAAAAGTATTTCACATGTCTGGTTTGGAGGTTCTTAGTGCTAATCGGCGTGGATATTTTTTAACTACTCCCTCCGAAATAAAAAAAAAACAGGGAGCAGACTGCGTGAGTACGCCCGAGGATCTCTCCTTCATTCGCAAGATTTCCTAGATCATACAGAATTTGAATTTGGACTGATTTCCGAATAAAACCTTTCTTGTGCAATCTCAATCCCAGGGATACTGGAAGCCTGGTGCAAAGGCGCCAACCGAGGTCTAACCCTCTGGGTTGAGGGAGGAGAGGGGATGGATTTGTGAACTTTCCAGAGTACTTTTTGTTTTCGTCTTTGTATTAACTGTGAAAGTCGCTGGTTTAGATTACAGTGCTGTGTGATATTAATATACTTGTCCGTCAGAAGAACACGGCGGATTGCTTTCTGATGGTGTGTCAGCTGAGTGCTCGGTGGATGAACCTGACGGAGGGAGAGTGGGGTCAGCGGCGCGCGTACAGTCCCCCTTCTCTGTTTTTTTTTGTTTGAAAAGAGCTACAGACCCGGTGTATTTCGCCGAAAGCGAGTCCGGCACATCCTCCCCCGTCAACGTATTCAGCCTTGCCGCCATCTTGTCCCACAGCGTCCGGAAAGGAGGGGAGGGATGGGGCTAGAAACAGGAAGTGACGCCACACAGGGCGGAGCGAGCATGGGGCGACGCCCATTGCGCGTGCGCGATGTGGGCGGGGAAAGAGCGAGGGAGGTTTCAGAACCCGGTGAGACCGAAGATGGCGGTTGGGGGCCGCGAGGAAGAGATCAGTTGTTGAGGTGCGTGAGCGAAGAAAGGTGTTGCCGATTACCGGGGATGGAGATGATGTGGGAAGGCAGCCTGTGTGATATTGTTTCTGTTGACCCAAGAATCAATTGCAATTGGAGCCACCGGAACCTTTCCCCGTCGCCCTCAACCGACTGCGCACGCGCACCCAGTCACTTTCCCCTCGGACTCACGTGCTTCTCCTCTAACCTGAGGCAGCAGCATAAGTCCATAGAGCCACTTCTTGTATGCATTGCCGTAGAGAGTGCTGCATTACCAGACTTTTATTTGGAAAATCACTGAGGTCTTTGCCCAGCCTCTCTCTGGTGCTTTTCGGAGAACGATGTTCTTTTTGTAATAAAAGCAGCGGTTTACTTACTTATTTCAATCTGGTCTACTGTATTTGCTGCTCACAGCGCCTTAACGTTGGCAAGTCCAAACGCAGACCAGATTACTGTTTTGTGGAACACACTTCCGCTTTATAAGAATGACCCCAACCTTCCAGTTGCTTGTCATTTCAATAGATCATCTTGCTCCCATGCATACATATCTGTCCTGGCCTCCTAATGGTTTTTCCAATGAAGCACAATGCAAGTTGGAGATCTCATTTGCTGACTAAGCACTTTAGAGCTTTTAGGATTCAATATTAAATTTCATAACTCTTCATAACCTCTTTATTCTTTGTTTTTTCTTGCACCACCCATCCCTTCTCACCCCCACCATGTCTTGTTGACTTTTCTTTATGCCTTCATTTGCAACCATTTTACACCTCTATCTTGCTTTAACTATTAACAATCTCTTTGGGTCTGGGCAACCTGTCAATCTGTGCCATTTGCTCATCCTGTTGTAACAAGGTGTAGAGCTGCATGAACACAGCAGGCCAAGCAGGAAGGCTGACGCTTCGGGCCCAGACCCTTCTTCAGAAAATCTGAAGAAGGGTCTGGGCCCAAAGTGTCAGCCTTCCTGATCCTCTGATGCTGCTTGGCCTGCTGTGTTCATCCAGCTCTACACTTTGCTCATCCTGTTTCCCCTTTTTGCAGCATAAATATTGCCATTTTCCAACCCCTTTCAGTTTGACAAAAGTAATATCAGATTTGAAGTTTTGATTCTGTTTCACTCTCTCTGTGAATGCTGCCTGACTGGAGTTTCTCTACTTTCTCTTGTTATAATTCTGGTGTTCTGGCTACACTTTATGCTTCATCAAGCATCACAAAAATAACAGGTTATCTGGTCATCTGCTTCGTAGGCATTTGTGGATCTTTGATGACAACGTGGTTGCTACAAACGAAAGTGCTTTCACTTAAAGTATGTTGGTAGCAAAGTCCTTTGGAATGTCTTAAGGTGGTGAAAAACACTATGTAAGTGCAAGTTTTGTAGCAATTGCTGACAAAAGTTTAGGTATGTCAATTCCATGAACGCTGAGTGGCTTTTTGCAGTGGCATGTGAATATGTTAGGAACTGTCTTGCAAAATTTTAATCTAAGATCAATTGTTTATTTCCAACTAATCACAAAATTGGTCCTGATCCCATTAATGTCAATCTGGTGGACTTTGTTTCATGCCCTTTAAGCCAATTAGTTAAGGGCATCAAAAGTGTACACACCATCTCTGGTGTGCACTCACTGACACACTATATAATTGCAGTAAAACTTCCTGGCTTGTACTGTAACACAGTAAAGGTGAACATATTATTTGACCTCTTAAGTGTTAGATCAAGGATATTCAAATACTTCTGAAAATGCCTCTAAGGGAACAGGTTATTTTTAAAGTCTGATGCTGTCATGTGATAGGGTTAATTTGTAACAGATGATTCCATGGCAGAGGTTATAATATGATCACTTTTAAACTTAACATGACATTCTATGTTGTTAAGTTCAAAACAAGAGTAGCCAGTTAGAGACACGAGAGTGAACTGATTAAAATAGGTTAGAAAATTAGATTAAAAGATAAATTTGATAGGCAAAAGTAAACATTTTAAAAGGTAATCCATAACTCTAATGAATATACATTTCTTTTTGAAGGATAAGAACTATACTGAAAATGTGATCCAAACCCTGCAATCACAACTTCTCTAGTTTGTCATGTTGCCAAAAGGATCAGTAAACTGAGATTGAGAACATGAACAAGATATTGGTAAGAGAAATAGAGCAATAGAGTGAATTAGCTCAAATATAAAAATAGCAACAAGCTTTTACAAAGTCTTTAAAAACAGATTAGTGAAGATTAGAGCAGAGACAACATATCTTTTGATATCAAAATAGCTTCATGATGACTTGCTGAACAACAAAATAAACAATCCGCTGTGACATTATTTTTAATCATTCAACACACAAAAATCGAGTGGCATTTCACAAGTATGGTTTGCATGAAGTGTTTTATTAATTTAAATATTTGCTAATTATTAACCACTAGTGAGGATATTGGAATCAGTGTAGTTGGGGGACATCAAACTTAGTTTATTGATCAGGCATTTGCTGCACTTCAGTAAGCATGGAAAACTTTGTGGAGAATAGTTTGTATAAAATATCTGATACAACTTTTGGGTTTTACCTTGAATTCTCTCTTGGATACAGCAATGCTAATCACTCCAAGCTGTTCGACCTTTTCCATTGTGGAGTATACCTGCAATCTCCGGTAAATTATAACATTGCCCAAGGTTTTAAACGACAGGCCTTATGATCTAATAGTTGCATATTTTCATTGTGTACTTCAATTTCTTTAAAAGCAGACTTTGAAAATACTTGAAAAAACAGATCAGATATAAATTGTTAAGCTTTTTAGTTAATAGAAAATGCACATCAATAGCAACAGTTATGATCAGACTTTGTAGACCTAGTTAAATCAATACTACTAATCACAATAATTACATCATACTTTCTTGCTTCATCAAGAAACCTCACTTCACATGCCTTTTGTTGTGCTATTGTGTCTGGGATCTCTCCTTGTTTCCTCATTCTTCCATACCCCCCATTTCATTCCTGCACACTTCCCTCAACAATACCATCAGGAAGCACGTTGTATATCTGGACAGCATCGGTCTACCTCACCACATTTATCTTGATACACTCTACTCTTTTTTAATTTGTTAAACTGCCCGTCAGATATTCAGCAGGTGAGAAATAGGTGGACACCACAGCTGGAATTCCCATTTAGTTTCTTGCTCATTTGATTTTAATTGATCCAAAATTGATTAGCTACAAAGTTCTTAGGTTCAGGGAAGGAATGCCAAAACGTATCAGCTCTACCTCTCTTCATCCTTCAGGACGCATTAAATCTACCTCTTTTGACCACATTTTTGACCCTTACACCTAATATCATCTTGTGGCTCATTACAGGAATATTTTTTAAAAATGGCAAAGTATCTTGGGATGCTTTATTATATTAAGGCATTTTCATAAATGCAGGGGTTGATGTTATCTTTGTTAAAAACCTCAGTGCACTCCTGCTAATATCTTCCATGCCTCTTAATTTAGGTTCTCCCTTTACCCATTTGTGTGTGCACTTCTATACTCCTCCAGAGCCAAGCCCATTATTTTGATCTCCTTTTGATCCTCTTCCTCTCTATCCTCTGTTTCTGCTACTTGGTCATTACTAGCTTTCACTTTTCCTCTCTCAAGAACTTTGTCCCTCCTTCAATTCCTATCAGAACCAACATCAGAGATAGTACATTTGTATTTTGAGCACTTAAGATTTCAGTACTACATTGTGAGCATACATTAACAAATCCAGCATTTATAATAATTCATTTTACAAATTTATTTTTTGCATTGCTAAACACCTCATAAAACATGACTATCTGAAGTAAGACTTTTTAAATTTCCTGGGAGCTTCTCATTTTCTTCAACCAGTAGGAAAGGATACTGTATCATCATTTACATGACTAGTCGATGCTGCTTCTGTCAGTCGATGAGGTGGATTAAAAATGGGGAGCCTAGATTTATCTTATTGTATTTATGAGTTTAGGTCTAACTTTGTGTTTTCTTTCGTTTTGACAGTGACTACTCAATTCTATGTTCGCGCTGATGCTCTTTTCAACATTCTTGTCAAGAACAACAGCTCCAGTCCTGGAAATTGAGATTGTGCTTATCTGGTATGTACAGATTACCTAGTTCAGGAATACCATATAAAATATTATATTTAGCTACTTTCAAATAAAGATAGGATAAAAAAAATCTGAATGATGGAGTAACTAACTATAGTTTAGCTTCTATTACTTAACATGAAAGACTAGTAAAGTTCTTAGAGATAATACTGTAATTCCACTTTGTCCCCACTTTCTCTCTTCTTTCCAATATTTTAACTGATCCATTAATTTAGTATGGCCCCATCGTTCCATAATTTTAATTTTTTTGAACATGTGATTTTAGTTGCACATTTTCATTACTGTATAAAAAAGTATCTAATTAAGCCATATAATTGCACATTCGCTCAATCAATCACTCTCTTGATTATAATGCTACATTCAGAATTGATCTGGTTTACACTGCAGAAATACACTTCACAATGAACAAGGCTGGTGGCTTTTAGTTTTCATGGGAAAATGGTGAAAATCCTGCTATCTCATAGTGACATTGTATTTAATTTATTTTGTCAGCACAATCGAGTGGCACTTAGAATTGATTTATAATAGATCAGGCTTTTACTTTGCATTTCCTACAACATGGTTACTATTCAAACCAGATATTTTTAGCATATATGACTAGGTATATGATGGCATGATGACACAGAGAGGCAGATAGTTAATAGTCCTTTCAGGTCTAATTTAAATATGATACATCAAGTGCTTGCTCAGCATACAGAGCAATTAATTGTTTTACATCAGTAACGAAGTGTTTATCTCCTACTTTGGGAGGATTTTACTTTCCAAATACAGATGAATGATGACAGTTTATGAGAGAGAAGAAGTAATAAGAAACAGTAATAGTGGTTCCATTGTGATGAATATAAATTCTCCAAAAAAATCAATTTTTTTCCCTTTAGATTGATTGTCCACTAGCCATGACTGTCAGATTGTTCAGAATCTTGGAACTGTCTCCATATTTGATGAAAAGAACTTTCTGTTTGAGATCCTGTCTGGGAAGTATTCCGCTGCTTGGGATCAGGCCCTGTGACAATTTTCGAAGAAATGCTGTGTGCTGCCCATGGAAAGGCCAAGATGGAAGATCACCAGACTATGGGCTAACACCAAGCTCCCTAAACCTGAAAGGGACAGCTTTTGTGCAAATGGTGCATTGGCAATCTCCACATTGTATACAGTGTGCAAACATAAGGAAACAGTTTTATTCCACTGTGACAGGCAGCAATAAAATTATTCCCAAACAGAAAGTACTGTCACCTAAAAGACCTCTTAAAGGGCCTCGGACCAAACAGCCGTCGAGGACCAACCAGCCAGCTCTTGCAGATGTGGAGGTAAACAAAATGTTTTAGGTTTCCTTGTTAACAGACTACTCTTTAGGTTTGCTATATCATGTAGGTCAGCAAAATCAAAATACTGTGTCCCAATATCTATTTTTATTCATACTTAAGATCAATACGTTTGACTTATGGAATCAGATGCAATGCCAATAGATGTCTGAATGGTTTGGTGTGGTCACCAGTTCTTGGTTGAACCACAAGATGGAGCATTTCTCTGTAATAGAGGGACTTCAATTTGGAAGATAGGTAAATAACTGCAGGCTAGTAGCATTTGCTGTTCAGATGGCGAGTACTCGTGCAGTTGTGATAACTGTAGTGTAGAGATCATCTACTTTCCAGGTTGTTTTGCTTTTTTAATTAAAGCAGGAACTGAGAAAGAAAATGACAGAATTTGAGGGCACAAAGGGAAAGAAAACAATAAACTGACCGTGAGAGTTGATGGTAAATTTCAATTCACAAGAGCTTGAGGCTAGGATGGTTATAATTCATAGGTCATTGAACAGAAGTACAACCTGGCTGCAACACACCATCTTCTGAGTTTAACAAAGATGCATTTGGATGCCAACAGAAAGCTACTTGAGGACCTCCTATCTGGGTACTTATGCAATTAAAATGCTTAGAAGACAAAATAATTGAGATGTCTTGTGGCAGAGTGGTAGTGTCCCTACCTCTGAGCCATGTGGCCTGGGTTCAACTCCCACCTACTCTAGGATGTGTCATGTCTCTGAGCTGGTTGTTTAGAAAATATCTAGAAGACAAAATGAAGCATTTTTTGACTTTTTAAATCAACCTATGGGACATGTTGTGACACATCTCTGGAACAGTTTGAACTTAAAACTCAGATTTTCTGGTGTAGAAGTAGGGACACTCCCACTGCACCACAAGAGCTCAACTAAGGATTTTTAAAATTGATTTAAATGAGGCTCCAAATTTTACTTTAGCAACATGCATTTCCCAAAGCCTAGAAAACTGATCTGGCTCAGAGGTAGGGACACTACCATTGGGTAGGATGCTCTTTTGGATGATTGCTGTGGTTATGATCGACCAAATGGCCTGCTTCCACACTGTCGGGTTTCTAAGATTACTCTAAGAAACCAAGCAATCAAACTGTAGTTTGCCTTTAAATGAATTATTTTGATTCCTTATTTTGAAAGGTGAAAGGAAATGTCTAATTTTTTTGAACAAAACCAACTGTACCTTATTGATCAATGCTTGAAAAATCCATGCAGTTAGTGTTCTGAATTTTGGTACAGGAGCGGTACATGACTGTTTCTGCCTGGGGGAAAAGGCCTAAAGGCTGGTTTGTAGAGAAGATCTTAATCTTGATCCGATGAAAAGGACTGGGTTGTATGTCAATATAGAATATTTATTTCACTTAACTATTTCCAAGGATTTTGTCTTAGTTTGGAGGAGAAAGATAGTGGGAATATGAATGCAGGTTTGTGAGAAAAAAATATAGGAATATAAAAATAAAAGCAGAAAGCTGATCACTTTTGTTTTGCTCTGCCCAATGAATGGGAGATCATCCACATTATCATGATGGAGCTTGCACCGAGTTGAATTCTAGGAGATTTAGTCTAATTGATTAAAACCTAAGTACTCAACTGTGTAAAATAAAAAGATCATTTTACAGATTCAGTGGAAACATTTTTTCAGTCATATCTCATTCCCCCCTCTGTCTTGTACAGCATATTACGATTCATTGAAGAAACTCCTCTTCCCTTTCCTTTTGAGATCTGTGCTCAGCCAGTAAGAAATGCTACACCAGAATACTTTACTACTTTGTTATATTTATTCTAGGGTTATTTGATGTTGTGTAAATATCCTACCCTCCGGGAATTCCAAAAAACATATCTTTGGATTGTTATCAATGATGATGACTTATTATTAATGGTGGTCACATAGGTGTAGAACTGTAATCTCCTGAGTCCCAATGAAAGTGCTTACTTTCAGTGAGTTGGTCGATTTAACCAACATATGGAATGCGTGAAAGAACTTTATTTGAATTGACATATTTGTACACCACTAAAGAATAAGCATGCACTTATCAAAATTGCTCCTCTTTGTAGGAGAGACTGGAACTAGGGGGCATGGTTAAAAAAATAAGGTATTTTCCAATCTAAGACAGATGAGAAAGATTTCCCTCAGAGGTTTGTAAGTCTGTGAAATTGTCTTCCCCAGAAGGCAGTGAGGCAGGTTCATTTAAGGCAGGGATAGATGGATTCTTGATTAATGAGAGTGTTGAGGTGTATGGGGTTACCTAGGAAAGCGATTTGAAACTATGCTTCGATCAGTTGTGAGCTTGAACTGCAGAGCAGGCCCAAGGGGCTAAAATAACACACTGCTGCTCCTAGCCCATATGTTTGTATGAATGTCAGTTGAGTACTTAGGTTTTAATCAATTAGACTAAATCTCCTAGAATTCAACTCGGTGCGAGCTCCATCATGATAATGTGGATGGTCTCCCATGCACTGGGCAGAGCAAAAAAAAAAGGTGATCAGCTTTCTGCTTTTATTTTTATATTCCTATATTTTTTTCTCACAAACCTGCATTCATATTCCCACTATCTTTCTCCTCCAAACCACGACAAAATCCTTGGAAATAGTTAAGTGAAATAAATATTCTATTCATGTTTTAAAACAAATTGACAAATCAAAGCTACAATGCTTATAACCTGAGGAAAGAGGCACTTCCAGTTGGACTGCATACTGTACCAATGCGTGCTTTCCCAACATTGCATATGCTGAAACTGGCATATTGAGAATTGTAGGCACACATGTAATTGGTATTCCCTTCAGTTGAGAGTGTCATAGCTCTGGCAAAAATATCCATTATAAACCCTGGATTTTGATGAACTGAGGCCATTAAAAAATGTTAATGAAGGTATGCAAGGACATGTAAGAACATTTTAAAGTTAAACTTAACAATATGAAAAGGTTGGTTTATTTTTAACTGTTTTTGAATTAACAATTTTATCTCGAGTCTTTTGTATTTGTTATTTCTGAAGAAGAAAAATATTTTGAGCAATTTTGATTCGGTTTAGTCAGGGACATTTAAAACTAGAGTGTTATGCCAAGTTCAATACCACATACACACAATAGTGGAATTTGTAAAAGGGCTTCAATTAGAGTCATGGAGCTGCACAGCATAGAAGGAGGCCTTTCGGCCAAACATGTCTGCAAATGTCATGAAGCACCTATCTGCTCAAGTCTCATTTTCCAGTACTAGCTGCTACCTTTATATAATGTGGTACTTCATGTGTTCATCTAAATACTTCTTGTGATGCTTCCCACCTTGACCACCCTTTCTGGTAGTAAGTACCAGATATTCACCACCTTCTGAGTGAAAACATCCAATCTTAAATCCCCTCTAAACTTCCTACACATTACCTTAAATCTATTCCCCCGGTTACTGATCCCTCCTTAAGGCGAATAGATTCCTTTTTACCCTATATGTGCCCCTCATAATTTTGTACCTCAGTCAGGTCTCACCTCAGCCTTCTCTGCTCTAAGGAAAACAATCCCAGCCTGTTTAATCTCTCTTCATAGCTGAAACAATCCAGCCCAGGCAACATCCTGGTGGATCTCCTCTGCATGCTGTGTTCCAGCTGTAGCCTAACTACAGTCTGATAACAGCTCCAGCATAACCTACTGCTGTTGTATTCATTACCTTGACTAGCAGCAAGTATCCCATGTGCCTTCTTAACCACCTTGTCCACCTGTCCTAATAAAAATTGAAAGAACTGCAGATGCTGTAAATCAGGAACAAAAAAAGAAGTTGTTGGGTTCTGAGGAAGGGCCACCATACCCGAAACATCAACTCTGATGTTTTTCTTCACAGATGCTGCCAGACCTGCTGAGCTTTTCCAGCAACTTCTGTTTTTGTTATCCAGCTGTCCTGTTGTCTTCAACAATCAATGGACATGCACACAAAGGTCTCTCTGATCCTCTGTACAACCTAGGGTTCTACCATTCATCGTATACTCCATTGCCTTGCCAGCCCTCCCAAAATGTATTTTCTCACTTTTCTGGATTAAATTCCATTTGCCATTGTTCTTTCCATCTGACCAGCCCATCTATATCATCCTGTAGTAAAAGACATTCATCTTCGTTATTTATCACACCACCAATTTTCATTCAACTGTGAACTTATTGATTGGACTTCCCTCAGTCATAATGTTTGTTTAGATCATAATGTACACCACAAACAGTAAGAGACCTAGCACCAATTCTGCGGTATACTGTTCAACACAGGCTTCCAGTCACACAAAGAAAATCTTTGACCATCACCATCTGCCTCCTGCCACTAGGCCAAATTTGGATCAAATTTGCCAAATTGCCTTGATCAGTCTTCCATGCAAGACGTTATCAAAAACCATACCGTCATCTCTGTAGTCAGTGTACACTGCATTACCTTCATCCACACATCTAGTCACCTTCTTTAAAAAAAAACTCAATTAAACATGTTAGACATGATCGCTCCCTTACAAAGTCATGCTGATTATTCTTAATTAATCTTTGCCTCTCCAAATGGGGATTAATTCTGTCCTTCAGTATTTGTATCAACAGTTTCCCTACTACCAGTGTTAAACTCACAGTCCCATTGTTTATCCCCATCACCTATCTTGAATAATATATCACATAATTTATCTTCCAGTCCTCTGGCACCTTTCCTGAGTCCAGAGAGGCTTTGAACATGAATGTCAGGGCCTCTGCAGTTTCCTCCCATGCTTCTCACAGCAGCCTGAGATGCATCTCAGCTGGGTATGGAAACTTATCCAATTATAAGCCTGCTTAAACTGCTCCTACCCAATCCCTCTCAATTGTGACTTGTTCAAGCATATTGCAGTCCTCTTCCCTGATTTCTACGTTGTTCATCTCTTTCATGAATACAGAAGTCACGGTTTGCCACTTAGGTGTCTAATGTGCCCCACTATTTCTCTGGTCACCGTCTTGCCACCAAAATACTTAGAAAATGCCTTTGGATTTTCCTTT